ACACTAACAAACCTACCGCATTTTTACTCATTATACTGATCAATTTTAGCCACGTTTTCTATGGTTCTTAAATTGGGGTTGGTTTTTTATTCAAACTTCTAAACTTGGAACACTTTGTCGCATTGCCGTTTAAGCACAAAACACACTTTGGCACTACTAAGTCGTAATTTTGGCTAATAGTTTATTAGAAAATCACATATATTTGACAGTTAAGTGCTATGCGTGCACAAAATCAACACAAGATGACACCATGATTTATGTAGGATTTATTTTCATGGACAACCACAAATTGCGTTACTTTTTGAATACATGTATGAACTATTTTTATAATAGTATTAAATTTATAAAACTAACCGCCTAATTCACAAAACGATCTCTAATACTTTAGTAGACTTTAATAAATCGTTAATATAGTTCGGCGATATGTCACAGACTGTTATTAAATCACTAATATTTAAAAATATCTACCGATTTCATAAATATTTTTCGGAAAACTGTTAATAAATATTTAATTTTTTATTGATTTGAAAAACGTAACCTTATTTATTTAAATTTACTAATTACACTAACAGTTCACAGTGTGTTTGAAAAATCACGAGATCGGCCAACTCTACTATATTTCTGAAATGACTTTGAGGTTTCTATCTTCAGGGATTTACAGATAGGTAAATATTTAAAGATGCTTTGTGAATAAATAGGTCAATGTAATTATTGATATTAATAAAAAAAATAGGGAAAAATAACTTTTTTTAGGTAAAAGTAACATTTTTGTGATTTATCATGAATAGAAATACATTCAAAATTAAACCCGAAACAACCAATCATTCCAAGAGGTTCTTATTTTGATAGTATTTAGGGAAAATACACCAAATGTCAGTCCAAACAATGTAAGCAATGTCGTCAGTATTCGATACAGAGATTTTAATAGAAAATTTATTAATTATTCGTTCTTTTCAATTGGAATTGATTTCATTTTTTTAAATAAAATTTTGACTATTTTTTAAATTTTTATTTCCGGATTATTTGACAGGCAATAACTCTCAATTAAAATAGTTACTGCGTTTAGTTATTCAGCTAATTGAAGGTAATTATGCCTTTTTCCATCATAATTTATTTTCTGTTAGATATACATACATATATACATAAAATGACATCCTGCAAACGTGAGAATGTAACCTCTGCCTTCAACCCCGTTCGAGTGACAGTTACATCCTCCAAATTCGTAAATAGAGAGTGGGGCTTGTGATACCTCATTTGAAAGGTCTCTTCATTCTCTATTCAAAAATGCTGTGGTTTTCAAATTTATTGCAAAATTTACAGTAAAAAACTAAATTATTTACTAATATAGAGTTTTGTTCTTGATAATGCAGAAAAATAAAAAATATGAAGAATGATCGAGCTAAGTGATTTAAGTGCCAAAATTATAAATTGTCAGAAATGAAAGAAAACTACAGAGATTATCATGCCTTCGCTTTGAACGTCGTTTTCAACCACTACGATGAAATTGGCACTTGGATCTTTTAGTAGGATATTGGCACTGGCACATAGGTCATATTGATAAAAAAAAGGAAATTAATATTTTGGCACTTAGAACACTTAGCCCGACTACTCTACATATATCAATTTTAATGTAGATGTTCAAAATGCCTTGCCTCGAACGTCCTGGCAGCAATCAATATCTGAGGCGTGACCAACATAATCACAAACATTATTCTTCTTTTTGAATCAGCTAAATCGCGTGGTTTAGTTTTGAATAGCATATTTTTCACATATCCTCACAAGAAAAAGTCCAATAGCGTAAGATCAGGTGATCGTGCTGGACATTATATCGTTCCTCGCCTTCCTATCCAGATTTGGAAATATTTGGTAGAGATACTGCCGGACATTGGTTAAGTAATGTGGTGGTTCTCCATCATATTAAAACCATATCACATTTGCTGGAACTTGTCGGTTTTAAATAATTATCTCCATTTAAATTGGCGTCAATGAAAAAGAAATCAATGACATGGTTTCCAACTCTCCCTGCCCAAACATTAACCTTTTCAGGGTATTGTTTACGTTCTTCTCTCATCCAGTGAGGATTTTTATAAGACCAATGCCGACAATTCAGATGATTAGTATGGCTGTGAAGTGAAAAAGTGTATTCATCAGTAAACACAATATGTTCTAATTGGATAATGGATAACAAATGAAATAAAAACAAAAAAATAAAAATTTAAAAATTCCAAATAAAAAACAGGTAAGAAAATTAAAAAAGGAAATAAAAAAAATTATTAAATTTTTAACAAAATACTTCAAAAAAAAATCAAAAAAGTTTTAATTTTTTTTAAATGCACCATTGTTCATACAACTGCTGTCAAATATTTAAACGCTCTAAGTAAACAATTCGTGAATTTTCTTAATCATAAATAAAATCGAGTTTCATTCGGAGATAAATAAATCATTTTGTCGACTCGAAGTATGTGGATTCTCCTCAAATTCAAGCATTGCGTCCAATATCATTACTTCATTTTTACTAATTGTCCCTTGAAATATAGGAGTCAAATCCGAAAATTTTTCGTAAAATAGATTTACAACGTCGATCTGTGTTCTTGTTTTATCTCCGTAACAATCATTTTTAAACTTATTTTATGCATTTCTGTTAAATAAACCATGTTTTTGATCTGTAGTTAATAATATTTAAATGACACGTACAACACTGACAGAAATTAATATTATGCGGTTACAATCACGCAGCAAGTTGCTAAAACGTTTTAAATTAAATTAAGAGTGCCAACACTATGAAGAATGTTGATAACTTTTTTTTTTTGTTAATACCGTCGAAAAACGCCATTGAAATTTGTTTTGTTTGCTTTCTTATTATCAAGAACGAAAGTCTATTAGTTATTAATTGTTTAGGGTGTTGTAGCGAATTTCGTCGATAAGAAGAATTTATTTTTGTTACAGTTAATTTTTCAATAACTTTAAAAACAGTCTTCTAGAATAGAAGTATCACAAGCCCCCACTTCCTATCTACAAATTTTGGGGTTGTAACTGTCACTCGAAGGGAGTTGAAGGTAGGGTTGAAATTTTCACTTTGTAGGAGTTATTTTATAATCTAAAATAAAATGATTCAGGATTTTTTATAAATATACACAGTAATTGAGCTACCTACTGAATTTATTCCATTTGGCTGTTACACACTGTATGTGAATAAATGTTTCTCTGGCAACGGATAGCGTACTAGGATAGGTAAATCCACAGTTTCCTATTTAAGGGCCGTTTGATTTGAAACTCGATCGAGCGAGAATAGAGGAGACCGAGAAGTGATGATGTCACAGAATAGAGCATTGAATCAAATCAAATAAAATAGAGTAAAAAACATAATCTTGCTTTTTTTGTATTTCTTGTTTCTGGTTTTTGTGTCAAAACAGTGAGCAAAAAGTGAAGAAAATGGAAAAAGTTTTAATAATAAGGGATACTGGCCCCGAAATGCAGCGAAACGCCCGCTTCAATTTCAAACTCCATGACTGTGATTACTGTATTTTCCAAACACATTTTTTTTATAATAAATAATTTTAGCTTTAAGACAAAAGCGGCTAAGTAATTTGTTGACTTCTTGGCTGGTCTCGAATTATGAGATTCAAGTTTGTTTGTAGATTAATTAAAAAGAGAGGTAGAGACAAAGACAAATTTCTCCCTTTACTCGATCCTTCTGCTTTGAGAACATGGAGCTCGCTCTATGTTGTCGCTCCAAAACAAATCAAACACTTTTGGGGTCGCTCGGAGTGTCAATTTAAACACGTTTGCATCGCTCGGGGATCTCCGATGATCAAATTAAACGTACCATTAATTAACTTAAACATGGACGAAAAAGTATAAGTGAACTGAACATATTATAATGATAAAAAAACAATATTAAGAGTCTGATTGTGTTTAAGTGACTTGCAGTAATCTGTCAATGTGCCAAATACTTCCCTTGGTTTAAGTTGAATACATTTTTTTTGGTAGGTTCCGAAAAGGTTCAGAACGAGGGGTAAAGTGCAGGTTTTAATTCCCTTTTACTATCCAATCCCGAAATTTCTTTAAAATTATTTACTTTTTGACATTTATTTGTTCTGGCAGTGTTTTGGTTTCGAGTAAAAATGGAATGGTTACATAATTGTTCAGAATTAAGGGCCATTGCGCAATAGTTCTGCGCACGGTTCTGGAACAATTCTATAACGTGAACCAAAACAAACTTCGTATATACAGTCTCAAAAATATAACCTTCGACTGAACGTGGCTCAATGAATAAGTCGTCGGCTATTGAAGCAAGGGGTTGTGTAATCGATTCTCTGATAGACGAAGTTTTTTTGTACTTTCTAAACTCCAAGATGTCTTTGACTAATTTTGTGCTAGTCTGAATTCGCCATCAATAGGCGCTCTACGGCCCCACACCAAGTCCGGGAACAAACTTTGGACCTCCACTAACTGTTGGGTCAACAAGAGGCTCAATGTTCCATTGCTTAATGTCGTTCGGTACAATATTGCAACCTGTTTTCTTCTCACCCTCGTGGAGAAATTCTTTTTTCTTTTTGTTGTTTTCTAATCTTACAATATGGCTTTTTGACGGATAAATTTAAAATGTTTAATTATAAGGCTTTTATCTTTATTAATCTTTGCATTGTTCCACAAGGAAATATATTAATATATTTACTTTAAATACAAATTCTTTCAGTTCTTACAAATATATTAAGTTATTTTCTTTAGATTAGGCATATATACTTTCTTACTGTAATACAATTTTGTATGTGTCCTCTAATTGGGGTTTAATCTGTTTGAAAAATTATTATTTTTAACTGGTCTAATTGAAACTTTGACGACACGCTTACATCGTTGGGCGAAACGACAACATACAAATAAAGCATCGACGAAGGCATGCTGTCTCGAATGAACACTTACATACAAGTACTGTTATCACTCAATAATTGTGCTCGTATTGAAAAATCAAATTCGCGATAATACGGAAATGTACTTACGAGTTCTTGGCTTCGCCCCGGTATACCTCGGGGTCGCTCATTTTGATCTCGCTTTCCCGGATGACATCCGTCAACGTCTTGAAGACTGTTCCGTGGATACTGAAAAAATAAAGAATGATTGTTTAAATGGGTGAGTTTATTAGAAAACGGTAGCAATGATCGATTGAGGTGTAATACACTAGTAACGAAATCAGAAAAAAATATAAATTGCAGTCATAACAATAGTAGAAGGCCGATATACAGGGTAATTCCTAACTTTATACTTCTTTTTTAACTGTGAATAAAAGTCATTAAAATTAACAATATTTTCATTTCGCTCATAAATTAAAACATTTAAAAAATATCGTCGTTGATTGTGCACTTTATGGCGAATTTTAGGTTTGGTTGTATTCCAGATATTAACGTTCGTGCATCGGTTGGTAATATCTAATATGTGCTAAAAAAAATCCGTTGATTTTATAAATCAAATAATAGAACACTTATGTGCCAACATTCAAACTATAGACAGTAATGGCTGATATATGTATCAGGATTCACATAGCAGATATTGCAGAATCAATGACGATATGGTACTATGTTCATTTGTTTTTGTGTTCCTGGCAAGGGAAATTTTTTCGTTTCAGTTCACATGCTTAGGTACAGTTGTAGTTCTCGAATAAAATATTTTTTAATCAAACTGTTCCAAATTGGAAATTGCTGAATTTTTAAAAGTTGTTCTATTGACCTCACGTTGCATGAACACGACCTGATGAATATACAATAATTTTTAACAAAAAAAAAACAAAAAAACTATTATTTAATATTTCATTGCAGCAAGTTAAATCAGATCGTAATATTTCAAAGCCAAACTTCTGAAATTATTTTTTTGCGTTTCCGCTTTTTTTTTTTTTATTTTCCACCTTCGGTTTTTTAACGCTTAATAAACTAAGGTGTACCCTGAGACCATCCTTAGTGGTGAAAGAAGCCATAGTAGAAGAGAAGTTCTCTGGACGGGAGCATAAGCTCCAATTATGGCTAGGAATGGTCCTAATCGACTGTGAAACCGAAACCCCATAGTCAGCAGAATGGCTCATGGAAAAAAATCACACACCTGAGCAACTGGAAGGGCGTGGAGTTGGAGGTATGTGCGGGAGATGACATCCCGAAAGCACATACAGCCACGCTCTTTCTCCCAAGAAGTCAAGGGGAAGCTTCTACAGTCAATAGAAGTGCAGAATGTGGGGCTATCGACCACACTGTGGAAAATAGTCAGCCAAAAAGATGAGGGTAGAGGCCAGGTCCTTAGGTTAGGAATAGATGACATATCCTGCCAAAGGATCAAGGATAATGGATACACTATACACTATCCACTATCGATTCGGGAAAATACCCGTATACGGCCTTCAAAAGAAAGAGGAAATAAAGGAACTGTGAGAAGAAACAGAACCAACTCCTAGTACTTCCAAAGATGATACTGATGTAGAGAGCATAAAGAGTCTTAATCTCTCAAATCTTTGCGTAGACTCATCTGAGGATGTAGAAGTAGATGAAGAAGCAGAATAGGAGGATATGGAACACGCCATCACGCCAAGGGAACCTCGACTGTGATCTCCAGGACATTCACTGAATATCAATTAGGGATCGTACTGATACAAGAACCGTGGGCCTACGGGAACCAGGTAAGAGGACTTGCATGTAAGTATGCAAGGGTAATTTATCATACTAGTGATGAAGTACCCAGAATATGCATAATGGTAAGAAATAATATTAAATATTGTTGTCTTTCAGAATTCATCACGTGTGATCTCGTCCCAATTCGAGTATATCTAGAATTTGGAATGAGGCGGCAAGACATAGTAATAGCTTCTAGTTATTTCGCCGGAGATGGGCTTGTACCACCCCCGGAAGTATCGAGACTAGTGGAATACTGCCAGAGAAGACATTGCCATTACTTCTTGAATGCGACGCCAACGCGCACAACATTGTATGGGGAAGCATAAAGCTAGCGTGGGTACCAGGGCACAAAGGTATCCAAGCAAATGAAAAGGCTGATGAACTCGCCAAAGAGTGATCAGATCTACCATTCACAGGACCCGAACCTGTATTTGGGATAAGCAAAACTTCTGCTCGACAGGCAGTGAACAGGTGGATAACCACAAAACACCAACTTCACTGGCAACAGATAAGAAGGCACAGAATCAGTAAGCTCATGCTAAGGGGACCAAACCCATGCATGGCTACTGAGGCACTACAACTCGCTAGGCTTCAGATTTCCACCATTGTGGGATTACTTACGGGGCACTGCTTGTGATGGGATTACACAATGATCCCATTACGTGTAGACTCTGCATGGAAGAGGAAGAAACCTCATACCATGTGATCGAATGCGAAGCTCTTACTAGGCGACGTTTCATCCTTTTCGGCCTAGAACCGGAAAGAACGCCCCAGGAGCACTTCGTAGGGAATCTATTAAAACTAACCAAAGACACATGACTATTCCAAAGATAGTACCTGAATAAGGGGAAAGCAGGGGAATACAATAGACCCAAGAGGCCGCAGTGTTCTGGGCCAAACCTAACCCTACCTCCTTACAACCGATAAAGATAATGATGGGGAAGCAACGACACCAATCATAAAGGTGAGCAACTTATATGTTTGATAACCATTAATGTTTTTTATCAAGATAATTTTTTAGCTTATTATTAATCAACTTATTGTACCTTATGAGTATACTATGTTTGTCACTTGTCTTATGTCATGTAAATGATACAAAAAGATCAATAAATTTATCTATCTATCTATAGAATACATTTTTAATCAGAACCTTATTGTGCAAAATATTGGGAATACTTTAACATTTGTAACAAGGACAAGAAGTGAGGTACGAGATATCACATTAAGTACACCGAGCATTAAAGATCCAGTCATAAACTGGAGATTATCGAGTAAACCATCTCTATCTGATCACAAGAAAAATGCGTTTCCGTTAGAGAGTGACATTCCTGAGACGATCCTCAGGACAAACTCTATAAAAACAGACTGGGACAAATACAACACTATTCTAAAACAAAATTTAGCACGTATCCAGACAAAAAAGGGGTCCAGGAACCGATTTGCTCTGGAAAGCGATATTGAAGAACTAAATGGAGCAATACTTGAGGCATATGAATCAAGCTGTTCCATTCAAAGAAATAGAACTAGTAGGGATCTTCCTTGATGGAACCGTCATCTGTCAAACTTACGATCCGAAGTGCGAAAGCTCTATAATAGGAGCAAGCACAGCGGAGATTGGCAGAGCTACACTGAGGCACACTACCTATAACAAAGAAATCAGGAAAGCTAAACGTAACAGCTTCACAAAATTCTGCGAGGATATTAACTCTACACCTGCGGAAGAGAGACTGCACAGAGCCCTGGGAAAAGGGAGAGTTGATACAGTTATGGCATTAAAGAAACCAAATGGAAGCTACCAGAAGCATGGAAAAGGGCCAAAATCACCTTTATTCCAAAAGTAGGGAAAAAGGATATCACACATGCTAAATCCTTCCGACCAATCAGCCTCACATCCTTTGTATTAAAAACAATGGAGAAGGCTGTTGATAATTATATCATAACGGAAGTCCTGGAGAAGGTGCCACTCCACCACAGCCAGCACACGTACCGAGCAGGAAGATCTACAGAAACTGCCCTGGTACAGCTGACTGACGTAATACAGGATGCACTGACAAAGAAACGGTCGTGTGTGCCTTACTAGACATAGAAGGGGCATTTAACAACACGCCACACAAATCTGTCAAAAGAGCACTTGCATACAGAGGCGTAGATAGCACCACATCCAAATGGATGGCTCAGCTGTTATCTACGAAAACTGCAGAAACGCAGATAGGGCCGGACACGATCTCCATCTGCACAACCAGAGGAGTTCTATTCCCACTAATGTTTGGGGAGCCTAACCGTAGACGAACTTCTATGCAGATTGACTTACCTCGGCATACCCTGTCAAGGTTATGCCGACGATATCGTCCAATTTGCTAGTGGCAAGTTTAGAAATATCCTGTGTCATATAGTCCAACACACCAAAAGATAGTGCCGTGAAGTGGGACAAAAACAACACTAGTAGCCTTTTCAAGGAAAAGAAAACTTAACTCAAAACCGTTAAATTAGACGAGTTAGAATGGAAAACTGAAGTCAAATAGGCCTAACCCTGGACAACAAACTTCTCTGGAACACATAAGAGAAGTAGTAAATAAGGCCACAGAAGCCCTAATGGTATGCAGAAACATTGCGGGTAAACAATGGGAATGTAACCCAAACACACTGCGATGGATGTATACTGCAATAGTGAGACCAATCCTCACTTAAGGGGCTATAGCCAGGAGTAACAGAACTAGTTTAGCTACTACGAGAACTAATATCTCAAAAGTACAAAGACTAGCCTTTGTTTGCATCACCGGTGCAATGAGAACCTGCACTACGCCCGAACCTTCTACATTTAATAATAGAAAATGTGGCAAAAAACACGATATAGAATGATCAGGAATGGAGTAATCAGACGGGAGTCTACTAGCTTCAGGACCAAAGATACTTGGGATATGCCCCAGGATGATGTGAAAAAGATGTACAGTTTTGTGAAAAACTTAAAAACTACAGAACTGGGCTGCAAGAAAGAATAGAGCCAAGAATCCATCCCGCTTGCAACCGAAAGACATGCTATTCAGTGGTATACAGATAGTTCCAGAGATAACAGGAGATGTAACTACTAATAAATATCGTGCAGTCGTGAATAAGACATATTCTGTTGCATTTTATTGTTTGTTAAAAAATGAAAGAGAATAACAATCTAAGAAAATATGGCAACGCACTACAAGTTGAACCAGACCGCTTAGCTTGGATGTCAGATGTAAAATGATTTACTTACATCTCGGGTCTAATTCTATTAAATGGTACCTCAAATTTAAGATTGTAATTTATCTCCGAGACAAATGATCTCAAGCATTTTATATTTATTACAGGGTTAAGCAACAATACTGTAACTATTTTAATTTTATTTACATAATTTGTATAACGAAAGGAATTCTTTTTCAATTTATTGCAACTCTGTTACACATACCTGACATTTTTATAATTCTTATTAGAGAGTTGAAGTGATGTTATGAACGTAAACGTATACATGAAATTTGACATCTGCGCATGCGTATTAAAATATCCTTCACGTATACGTCTACGTTCATACGTAAACTTACGGGCTCTGACGTATACACGTAACGCAAACAAAATAACCTCTTTTTAATTGGAAAAGAAGAAATCCCAATATAAATTGTCATTAATTGTCATTATTTGTCATGACACGTAAATGTCACGATGCGTTTAATAACTTCAACTCATATTTTGTACTACAACGTAAACATTATTTTTCTGCGTTCACGTTTACGTTAACGTACTGGAAACATTTCAACTCTCTATTAATGACGAATTTCAGTATGGACCGAACCACATTGGATTCGTTTTGGAATAAATTAATGTTAGTTTCTTATTTTTGATTTTTTTTGTATTGTATAAAAATGTTTATTTTAATGACTTTTTACACAGTTAAAAAAAGTATCATCTTAAAAATAAGGAGAATATTACGTATTACGGATTTGGATTTTTGTTATACTTATAATATTTGAGAGAATAGATAATCTTCAGTCATTAAAAGATTCAAGGTTCCTAACACTTTTCTCAAAGATTCTATATAAAAGGTAAAATTTGGAAAAGGAATACCTATTTATATGTAACTTCAAAAAAATTAGGGTAATAAATAAAACAAATCTTACGGCTATGGTTCGGAAATAAACGTTTTCGACTTGATCATATTCTTCATAATATTCATTCGTTGCGAATAAGTTTACGAAATATGATAAAAGTATTCTAAGGTATGAACAATATCTGAAAAAGGAGGACGAAATAAAACATAAGGAAACCAAAATTATCTACCGAATGGAAAAATTAGAGTCACATTACAATTTTTGTTCACATATAAAAACAAGTTTATTTGCAATTAATATATTTTTCTACGTTCATGCAAAAAACAAAACTTTATTGAACTATATTTATTGAAAAAACTGGGTCTTTATTGCACTAGTGCAATAAAAATTTTATTGCACTCATCTGTCATTTTACTACAGCGTTTTATGATCATGACAAACATAAATATTCAAATCAACGCCAAATATTAAGTCCATTTTCATTTTCTGTGTTACGTTTTAAAAACAATTGCATATTTTATATTATTTTCAATCATTTAATAAATAAATTAATAAAAAATGTATTTTATTAAAAATGTCACAACAAATTATGAACACAAAAGTAAATAAATGCCCCAAACAAAGGTACACGATCACGGCTACTATGATTTGGATAATACAACTGCAGTTCTATAAAACATTTTTTGGTTTTTGCATGAACGTAGAAAAAATATTGTATGCAACTCGTGCAAAGTGTTTATTGCACTCGACGTGTTGTCCAACTCGGCCTGACGCCTCGTTGGACAATTTCACGTCGCGTGCAATAAACACTTTTTGCATAAATAACTATTTCAGTTCTTCGATTTTTTCTGCAATTGCAACAAACATTTCAACAGCCTGTAATAATATAAGTACTTATATAATTTTTGTAGTTATTATAGTTTCTTGAACTTGGGTATAATTAGGTTAAGGTATTTTATTATTTTATATTATATTTTGTAATGTGTTGATTCGACACTTATTTCGACGACATATCAATTGTGTCGGTTCGTTGAAATAAGTGATCGAAGAATAAAGGATTCAATAAATAACTTTCGTACAATCTACTTGATTTTTATTGCTATTGATAATACATGGTGACGTAAGATATCCAAAGGACTAGTACCATTATATGGCGATTCTGCCAGTCCAGAATATTATGAAGAAATATGGCAAGAAGAATAATTATGGAAATAAATTAAGGAAATATTAAAGAAAATTGAATAAAGAATTATTGAGAAGATGGCTGGAAATACAAATTCTAAAGAGGTAAAGGAAGAAGTAATAATCGCTCAAAGTGGAAATAGTGGAGGTCAAACAAATACAACAGAATTTTTCACAGCCAAAAATATTATAGAGGCAATGTTCGTGGTATTGGCATTTGTATTTTTGTTGATGCTAGTTTTCATGAAATGCAAGAAAATGTTAGAGAGAAATGTGGCTAAACAAATTAGAGCTAGCGAAGAATTAGTTTAGAGAAGGAAATAACAGAAGATTTTTTCTCTTTTTCAGCTTTTTAGGTATGAATAAATAAAATAATCGTAATAATGGAATGAGTTTGCAAAAGGAATTTGCAAATCTTATAGAAGAACTAAAAGGGTTTCATAGAAATCTATTAAAAGACAGTATCGAAAGAAGAAGTGTCATAAATGTAATTAACTGTAAGTTTAAAAAATTAGATAAGTTTTAAAGAGGTAAAAATATTATTTAATAAATCAGACGTAGATTTTCGCTCAAAAGCTTATATTAAAGAACTTGCAAATATTGTTGATAAACTTATTGAGGCAATTACAGTTAATTTAGTTGAAAGGTAATAGTTTTCGCACCACATAGAGCAAACTGAACAGGAAACCTTCTTTCAGATTACTCAAATAAAGTTAAAATGGCTGAAAAGTTTGATTTAAAAACCACGGCTAGTCTGCTACCAGTTATGAATGGTACCGAAACTGTTACTAATCAATTAATTGATGCTATTGAGTTGTATGATGCTATTGAGTTGTATGATGCTATTGAGTTGTATGACGCTATGTTTGATGCTGAAGGAAAGAAATTATTAACAACTTATATTCTAAAGAAAAGTCTAAGTCAAAATGCAAAAATTAGACTAAATAAAATTTTAAATAATCAAAATCTAGTTAGTGATCGTAAAAAGTTTTTCATTTCTAAAAAATCTTCAACATCATAAGCTACACAACTACATAATGCTAAGCAACATTCAAAAACTATTGAACAGTTTGAGAAAACGTTAGAAGAATTGTTAACAGACTTAACGCTTACCCAAGCCAACGACAATGAAAATAATCTTTAAATTTTAAGTGAAGTAAATGAAAAAATTGCTTTCAACATTTTGCAAATGGATTGCGAGATAGAAATTTGCAAACTATTATTAAAGCTCGAAATTATGCCAAATTAAATGAAGGAATCCAAGGAGCTAAAGATGAAGAAATCAATTTAAACAATTTTAATATTGACATATCATATGAGAGGTCGCCAACATTTTAAATCTAATTATAGAGGAAATAATAGAATTTCTAGAGGGTTTAATAATCAAAATATTTGTATTAAAAATTATTCAAGAAATAATGTTAGTTTTAACAACAGAGACATATATACCGGGGTAGATTTAACAGTAATATGAGAGGAAATAATTTTAGAGGCAAAGATAGAAGAGTATTTCATGTAAATAACTCGAATGAATCAAATGTTACTAAAGGTCATGGCTCAGAAATTCCTTCAACGAGTGACACGTTTTTTCGTGCCTAAAAATATGGCATATTTTCCTTAAATGGCTTAAATTTTGTAGAATTTTTCTTTAAAAATCATAATTAATATTTCTATTAAATACAAGTGCTAGCGTGTTATTTTTAAAAATAGAATATTTAATAATGAAGTATTTGATGTTTCAAAGAAATTACGCAAAAATGATATATCTGGGTCAGTAGTATCATCTGGCACAGTGAATATTACATTACAAATTATAAAGTAAATCTGTGTCTTGAATTTCAACTTTTAGGTGTTTTTATAGCTGGAACTCTTAGTAGGGCAAAACAAAATTTAATTCCTATCAAAATTTTATACATGAGAGACCAGGATGTTACGCTAAGAAATTTTACACCAAAATTAGAAAAACTAGATAACTATGATTTGTGCGAATTTAAAACAAAACCTACCTTTTTAGTTACCAGAGCAGATAAGTTATTAAATTTAATAAAATTAGAACACTTAAATACGGAAGAGAAAAATTCATTGGAAAAAATTGTAGTAAAATATTCCGATGTGTTTCATCTAGTAAATGATCCGTTAACTATTTCTAATCTGTTAATGCGCAAAAGTGCAAATACAATCGCCGCAATCTCCAACTGTAAAATTACTGCCTTAAAATTTCTGAGTGCAAGAAAGGCGGAAGACCGATCTGAGCACCAATATTTTCGATATATTATCAGTTTTAAATAGAAAATCAATATACTTACATTTTAAACGTAAAATCAGGTAATAAAGTAAATGTTGGCACGACGAAAATACCCAACCAGAACACGCCTGACGTAAACAGCAATAAATACATTCCCACAAACACAGCTCCGAATGGAAGCGTGGGCCAAAAGAAACTGCAAAAGAAAATTAATTATAAATAAAAGTTTTTGTTTTACCTAAAACGAACACGATTTAAAAGTATCTAATTAACTCTTTAACGGGTGTGGTATGTATAATATGTACCATTTGTTTGTATTGATCATCGATCCATTGTCTTTAACTAACACGTCGTTCCTTGTCTCTTTAGATCAAGGTTGCCCTCTGAGGTATAAATACCATGATTTTAGTTGACACCATCTAACAATCAAAATGTGGTGTGTATTTGTACCAGAAAAAAACTAATTTTTTTATTAACTCGCTTTATTTTTTAATAAATTTAACTGAAATAAACAAAAAAAATAAGTGTCTTTTTGTTCCAAATTTTAAATATTTTATATATTAATACCATTAAAAATGTTGATGGTACAAATATGTGCCACCAATATTTCACTTGGTCCCATCTGATGATCAATAGTTTAACTAACTGTCAAAATGTGGTACGTATTTGTATCAGAAAAAGCCATATCATGTGATGAATTCTTTCTATCTTTTAATAAATTTACCTCAAGTAAACAAAAAAGCAAGTTGGCATCTTTTTTCCTAGATTTTATTTATTTGTTCCTTTTTGAAAATTTAGCAATTTCATTGGATGTTTTTATAACACAAACATGTTTCTGTAATAAAAGATGATAATTTGTGTGTGTAACTTTTTTCACTACTATAAATACGTAACACCAAAAATGTAAGTGGAACGAATATGTACCACCATCATTCAAGGAACTGTCAAAATGTGGTGCGTATTTGTACCAGAAAGAGCCTAGATCATGTGATTAACATTCTCTATTTTTTAATAAATTTACCTGAAGTAAGCAAAAAGTAAGTTAACGCCTTTTTGTCCTAGGTTTTATTTATTTTCTACTTTTTAAAAATTGGGCGTTTTTATTGATGTTTTAATGAGACAAACATGTTTCTGTAATAAAAAATGATAATTTGTGACTAAACTTTTTCAATACAAATACGTACCACTGTCATTTCACTTGGCGCCATCTGATTATCAATAGTTAAACTATCAAAATGTGGTACGTATTTGTACCAGAAAGAATCAAGATATTTTGATTAACGAGCTTTATTTGTAAATAAATTGAACTGAAATAACAAAAAGTTAAATTCTTTTTGTCCTCGGTTTAATTTATTTTTTAATGTAAATTTATTCTTTTATTGATTTTTTTCTGATACATACATGTTTCTGTAATAACAGCTGATAATTTGTAACTATTTTAGTCTTTTCCATAAGTAGTATACATGGGTACCACCAAAAATATTGATGGTATAAATATGTACCACCATCATTTTTTATTTGGCATCTTTTGATAATCAATAATTCAACTAATTGTCAAAATATGATACATATTTGTAAAAGAAAGAGAATAGATTTTTTATTAGCGATCTTTATTATATATACAAAAAAGTAAGTTAGCCTCATTTTATATTTATTTTTTCCTTTTTTTAAAATTTGATATATTTTGGTAATAAATAAATTATAATTTGAAAATGTTGGTGGTACAAATGTGTACCACCAATTTAAAACAAAAACTACAAAAAATAACGATTTAAAAAAAACGACCAAAAAATTTCTAGAGGCATCCCCAATAAAGGGCTAATGTAGTTAAAAATAAACAAAGTATATCTTACCTGTACACCATCACGAAAACAAACCATAAAGCTATAGATCCCCAGATGGCACAATGAGTCATCCACGTCCACGAGTTCATTACGAGACCGGCTTTTAAACTTACAGTCAAAACCACAAACTAAAAGAAAAACAAAATAGTTATCTATATAACATCAAACAACGCACCAAAAATCACTTACCGTATATATACAGTTTCCCAACATCAAATACCCTCCGTCCCGTCCGTTCATCCACAAAACGTCATTTTGACAAGCCAACAACGGCAACCAAAACAGCAAAGCCGAATGGAAGATGCCGTTGAAGATCCATACCCAGAATACCTTGATGTTGAACATTTCGCCGTTCTGCGAGGGTTTGTACAGCTGTGGATACTGCATCATTTTGTCCGCACTGCACGGTTTGTCGAAGAGACCCATCGCCATCGGAGGCAGAAACGTGAACAAGACGTTGTACAAGGCGATCGTCCAACGTTCGAAGATGATTTCGCCGGACCAACCGGCGTAGATCTGGTACCAGAATTCGATGACATAGAGAGTGATATTTTTGTAGAAGCTGTACAAGATTACTTTGCATATTCTGAAAACAGTTAAAGTGTTATGACAGTTTAAAGTTAAATAAAAAAGAGGAATTTGGGTGTACAAATGTAGGAAGTTGTGTGGAATTTAAGGATTTTTGAGAGGTGGATCTCACCCTGTATGTTGTAAATGAAAGTGTAGAATAAAACAACGTTGATTTTAGAAGACATATCTGTCACCAAGAGCAATAGTGGCACAACTAAAATGTTTCCAAAATAATAGATTAATGTAGTGTCAAACGTTAAATTTAATAGCATTCTTCAAGCAAACTGGTAGAATCATGAGGCGTTTTCGGAAACTTACTCGGATCAGAAAGATTACAAATCCTATTGTTCGTTTACCTAGTGTTACTAGCCCTATCCGTTTTCGGAAACTAGTTGATTACTGATCCAGTTTTGTAACCGAGATCAGTATTTTGTGACCCTCTCTGCGAGTAGATTAGTAACAGATTTGCATGCGCACCGCAAGATTTTATAGAGGAATGACGGAATACCCCAACTTTTTGATATCTGGTGTCTGGCAGTAGTAGTTTTGAAGCTTTTTTTTTAACATTTACATTAATTTAGTTACTAAAAACTTATGCAAGAGGATAATAACTTATTCATCACTAAATTCTAAAATCATACTTGCTGGAAGGAATAGGTTATTTAAAATAAAAAGGGTCTTAAACACAAAAAGGGTTTTAAATATTAAATGTCACGCGGGTAAAGTCAAAAATTGATAAACGTTGGCAAACAGGAACAATAATCAATCTCGTTCGTAAACTCTCGGTACTAAGTTTAGTGATATACGTGATCCGTCGGGTAAACCCAGTAATCCGGATTTGTTATCTATAGTAGATTTCCGAAAACGCCTTTAGTTAGCATAATATATTCCCCGAAATGGCGAATGTGTCACTAAAGCATCATATTAAGTATAGTAAGAAAATGGCACTAAATCAGTTTTGTAGTTAACCTGCACCAATATGGGTACATAATCAGTGTCATTTACTATTTTAGGGTAGAATTCGTTATGTTTGGTCATTAATGACACACAAAGTAACTGATTTTTAAAAATGCCAGTAAAGACTATACATTTTAATTTTTTTTTGATTGTGTCTATATTGACTTTTTATTTATTTTTCTGGTTTGTGCAAAAAATGATGCTCATAATTTGAGATTCCCTTACAAATACTAAAATTGGTGTATCAAAAAATATATAAGATACATGTTTATTTTCCCAATTTTGTATTTTTATAAATAAAGTCAATGAAATAATGAAAATGTGTTTTTCTTAATACATCAAAGTGTAATTATTAAAAAATTGTAATTATGGTCTCGTCAACAGCGGCATATCTTATTAAATTCAACTTATAAAACAAAAATCGAACCAAATACTTCTCTATGTATTTGTAATTTATAAACTAAAAGTAAAATTCAACAAAATTTTTAAACTCATTTTTTTTTTTAATTATTGCAGTCGGTGAGTGATATAATATATTTACTGTAAATTGAAAATACGAACTGATCACATTGATTATTTTGGTTACATTATGTATGAGATATAAAACTTAACTTCTCTATTGATCTGAGAAGATTAGTTTTAATACAAACTGCTACATATATGAAAAGCAAGAAATCCCAAAAGTCGGTTTAAACTTTTGGGTGTTTGGATTCGGTTTATTCATCGGCTTAGGCAGGTATGGGTGTGGACTGTAATAATGAACCTGGGGGTAAACGTCTTGCCCAGGAAAATTAAACACTGATGAACGGTTAATTAATTTAATTCACTTGTTACAAACGAATACACATTTATGTACCTACATATATACACTAATTTAGAGAAACGATGTACTTGCTTTCACAAATGCAATACATGCTAGCAGTTGCAGTTTGTGCCTCTGGCTAAGCCAGAGTAGGAACGAATAACGAAAACGATATTTACCGATAGTTCAACAATGATGAGCGTGACGAAAACGACATGAATAGTGAGCGTGACGAAAACGACATGAATAGTGGAAGTTGAAAAGGGCAACTCGTTGATTCTTGGGTGTGAAGGAACGCTGAGCCATTATTGTAGATGGACTCGTCCAACTGACGAGCGCATGCCGACTTAAAGCGTAAATTCGTTAGAAATTATTTTTAATTTCATTGAGTGTGACCAAGGAATAAAAGTTGTTGAAATACATTAAACATTACATTTAAAATACATTTAACATTACATTCGATATACATTCAGAATTTCTAATATCCGAACAACCCCTACAGCCGTCCCTGTAGCCTGTACTATCTCAGCCGATAAGGAAGTTCTCTAACAGAAGAGTACATCATGCGTGTCACCCACTCCTCATTGGTTAAAAATTACTACGGCATCCTCAAGCTCGCTTGGCGGCTCATCATCATCTTCGCTGCTTCATGTACTGTCGCACACCACATGAGTTTCCCGTGGTAGAAACGGACGCTATACCCGCCATTATGTAAAATATAAAATAATTCAAGCAACACGGCTTAAGATAATAAATTTCGGAGAAAAATGTATTTGTAAATAATGTAAAAAGTGTATATTTCGATGTCAACAATGTACTAGTGTTAGATCAAAATGATTTCCATTCGTTTTTAAATAAAATGTGTTCAGTAAGAGGTGGCCTTTGAATGTAGGTGTATCCACCACCAGGACCTCATGGATCACACAGGTATTCAAAAATTCTTTATTAATACAGTCCACGAATAATCTTGGGTCAGATTGGCCCTCTTTTATGTGGCGTAATACACCGGTTAAGCCTGTACATCGGTGTGGCCGCTACAGAACTTATGTATTTTTTAAATGGTCGGTTTGAACACATGTGGCTATTGTACATAGGGCCTGTCTGCAACATGTTAGGTTTAAATTGAAGAATGTATCATGAAATTGAAACATCTGGCACCTAGTTATTAAGAAGACGAGTGGTGGTAATCAGAATGCTCGATGTTATGTGAATCACGGTGATGCTTCTGTTGTAGGTCTATTTATAAACTTTTCTAAACAAGCGAGGATTTAAAATTTGATTGGCTAGAGCGTTTAACCGTATACATTTTTTCTTTGCAACGTCCGCGCGAGATGCACTGTGAGTAGAGACAAAAAATGGTTTTACTGTTCCTTATGTCTTATGCGATTCATATTATTATAGTCAATTATTTTCATTTTGAGCTATATCTTGACCTTGCAGAACTACCTATTACAAATTTTTGTTGCATTAAATTCTTGGTAGAGACAGGGCCGGCTTGTTTCGTAGTCTTTAAATACGGAACTTCTGTGGAATTGACAGGAAGTTAACAGATACTCCAAGAATTTGCCGAGAAATTAGGAACGAATTTTAAAATAATTGGCTAGTAAAAGGGAATTATGTGTAACAATTTTGACCTAACTACAGAAAAACTTCTCTCTTCACAATTCTTTGCGCATGCTCTATATTTTTAGGTGAGCATACTTGGGCAACATATATGTCATTGAAGTTACAGAAGTTATAAAAAAAATGCTCTGGTAACATATTGTACGTTCTAATAAGTTGTAAAATTATGAATATATGTCTTTTGTATCAGCACCTGGTCTAAATCACTAACCTATAATATGCAATGGGCTGTAAGACAAGTAATTCTGGTATAAATCCAGTAGCCTCAACAGCTCAAAACATAAAAGTAAGTACCCGTTGAGTTAATTAAAATATTATTAAGAAAAATCTGTAGGAGTAGGGAACTCATAATTCATTATTGTTTTGATATTAAAATTCTAATGCTAAAAAAGTTGCCAAGTTACTCATAGGTTACTAGTTCAGTGGTGACAAATATGGTTAATAGGCATTATAATATTTTAAAATATAGGACTATTAGTCATTACATAACTCACCTAGAATAATTCCAAGCGCCGTGCACCAAAAGTAACCTCAACAAAAACCTAAACTGGGCTATACTGTAATCGGAAGCGCAAGCGGCTTGCAAACCCTCCGCACCGGATATTCCGACGCCGATATGGGCCTTCCTGATCATCGGTACATCGTTGGCCCCATCACCAATTGATAGGGTGATGGACTTCGTGTATTTCCGCATGTGCTCTACCACCTGAAATAAACGTAACATATTAGTAGATAATGAGCCACTCCAATCGATTTTTCTCTAGATCTGTGGAGTAGATCTGGCAGCGACGCACTGCATAATTCAATGAACAGTAAGTCCGATAATTCTCCAGAAACTTTTCAAAAAATGACAACATCACTTCTCCAGTACGCAGCTCGGCACTTTCGTCGATTTTTACCCAAATTTAAGGAAATTTGTAGAGTAGATCTAGCAACGACGCACCACATGAATCAATGGTAAGTACGTCCGCTAATTTTCCAGAAACTTGCAAAAAACGGAAACGCTGCTTCTCCAATACGCAGCTTCACACTATCTTTGATTTTCCTCTAGATCTGGAGAAATTTGTAGAGAATATCTGACAAAATCTAACCACATAAATTAATGATAAGTAGGTTCGATAATTCTCTAGAAACTTGTCAAAAAATAACGACGCTCAGCACTTTCTTCGATTTTTCCACAAAACTGGGGAAATTTGTAGAGTAGATCTGGCAAAGCAGCAGCGCATGAAGCAATGGCAAGTATGTCTGATAATTCTCCAGAAACTTGCCAACAAACGGCAACGCCGCTTCTCCGGTACACAGCTCGGCACTTTCGTCGATTTATACCTAAATCTGGGTAAATTTGTAGAGTAGATCTGGCAAATCGATGAAAGTGCGCTCAAGTGGCTCAATATCTACTCTTATTTGGACCAAAACCTCACAAAACTAAAGAAATTCGTCAAAAATAAATATAAAAAATGTATGAAATAAAATTAAAAATTAGCGCCTACCTCGGCTTTCTGTATGGGCGACGCTCGGCAGCATATGACCACTTTGCAAGAGACGCAGAGCCTGAGAAAATCCTTTCTCAGTTCGCAACTTAGCGCATAAGTTAACGTTTTTCCATCGACTATTACAGCAATTTCGTTCTGTTTTCCTAAATTATCGCCTATGCCCTCGCAGTTTCTCAAAATCGATTCTCTGGTGGCCTAAAAAATAAAAAAAAACATTAACAGCGGGTTGAGCATGTGCATATATTTAATGAGCGAAAATTGTGTCGCCATCTGTACTTTATAAGCAAAATCAAAAGTCGCTGTAGTACCTAGTTCAGAGAGTAGGTGGAATAAAAGTCACTTCTGTGCTCATTAAAATAGTGCCAAGAAACTTTTGATATCTACGGGGAGATTCAAAATATCGGATAAAAAAATCTCCCAGTAGCTATCAAAACGCACAGTTCTAATCTAAAGGCAAGATTTAATCAGATCATTTCACTCTTCACATTAGACAAAAGAGGACAAAAGAGGAGATTCCAGATGTGAGTATCTCACCTATCTGTTTAACGAATGAAAGTTTATAAATATAACGTAAATGGTTTGCCTAAGAAAATACGGGCAATACTATTTATTTTCTTAAATTAAAAAACGACCACATAAAGTATTCCCCAGATGCTTCGACTATGCCCAAAATTTAATCAGCTCACCGCAGGATGGATTAAAGGTTAAGTTTAAAAGTTGATATTTTCTCTTTATCCGTTTTTGAGTTATCTTCCAATTTCAAAATTTGAACTTTTCCTCAAATATCTCGAAAACGGTCAATTTTACGGAAATCATGTATAGGACCAAAATTATAGAGAACGATATCACAATCAACTTTTATCACGATTCCTATACTTTCCTTATCTGTATATAAATATATAAATATGGAAGATGGAATTGAAGAAAATCGAAAACGAGAGGAACAGGAACATGTAGGAAAGGAAGATCTCATTGAGTTAAAGATATGTTTAAATCTTTGCGCCACACCGTATCATTGAGCTAAAAGATGTGCTATACCATTTCTATATGGCGCAAAAAAATCGCTTCCAGCAGGTTCAAAGCTGCGACCTTTGAGTTGCCGTCCCAACATCCAAACTACTAAACCAACGGAGCGTTATACATCCAGCGACCTAATTGTTAATATGATTCCAAGATTTGACCTTTTATTTTTAAACACTTTTTTAACTCAAATACAATCAAAATAATATCAAAGCCATGCGCCACAATAATATGGGCAGCCGTTTCTCTTTTGACAACAACTACTCATTTGGCAAATACCTCACCAGGTATTAAATTGCGTCAAAAGAAAATAGCAGTGATAGAAAATAATTTCAACACTCTACTGTGACTCTACCTTCGATTTTGCTTACTAAGGAGAAAGTCATTCTTGTCCTTATCAGAAAGAAATATAAAATCTCGACTCCGGTATCTAAGAAGACTGATGGCAATACGAAATTCATTCGAACACATTAACAGCGGGTTGAGCATGTGTATATATTTAAAGGTCGCTGTAGTACCTGTTTCAGAAACTAGGTGGAATAAAAGCCACTTATGTGCTCATTAAAATAGTGCCAAGAAATATTTGATGTCTACAGGGAGATTCAAAATATCGGACAAAAAACGAAAATGGAAATTTATTTAAATACATTCATCGTTTGTCCGATATTTTGAATCTCCCTGTAGATATCCAAGGTTTTTGACACCATTTTAATAAGCACAAAACTGCGCAACTTTTGTCTAATTTAACCAACTTTCTATCTGTTACTGTTTAAGAAATAGCAATACTGTAGGGACCTTGTCTGTATAAAAACTAGTTGCACTGGTAAAGTTTATAGGTTTATCAGATAGATAGAAAATATGATTTGTAAGAACAGTAATATCAGAGTGTTAAAAAAATAGATACTTACATCTAAACTGTCGTCATTCAAAATAATGATCTGCATCCCTTGCGACAACAACCTACAAGAATAGCCGATGTTAATGGCGGTTTCTTGCTTGTCGCCCGTTAGAACCCATAAACTTATGTCCGCCTGCAACAAACTGGCTATCGCTTCCGGCACACCCTCTTGCAGTTTATCTTCTATTGCTGTAGCGCCGATTAACTTTAACTTTCTTTCGATCAAGTTCGCAGCTTCTTCGACTTTTTCTGTCGAACAAAACGAAGAATTATGTTACAAGGACGAAAAGTTGGATTCCAAAAAAAAACACTTTTCGGTCGTGTTTCATACATTGTTTTTTATTCGAATGTGCTTAGATATTAAAAATATATAGAAAATTAAATCTGAAATGAGATTATTTCCAATAATTTTTCCTCAACTGAATTGGCTATGAGAACAATTGAACAATTTCTGTCGTGTCACTGTGCTCATGTCAAATTAATTTAATTACCTAGTTTGTAAAAATGTATGCAAAAAAAAATAAAAAAAAATAGTGATGAAGAATTGATTACGGGTTCGCCTCCAGAAATTAGAGACGCGGTAAATTTGACGTCTTTGAATTTGATTTCAATAAAATCAAAAATGGTATATGAAAGTACCTACTTCGTATTTGAGTCTAATCGGTATGCAACTTAACTTTAGAGGTCATGGCCGATAAAGTATTTTATGAAGTATATACAACATTTCTACTTTTCAACTACGTTTTGTGTCCGAAAAACGACGTTTTTTGACACATTCGAATAAAAAATCGATTTTAATATCACCTTCAACCGCTCAAATTGGGTATGGTAATTGTTAGAACCAGAGTTGAGCAACAAGCAGCCCGTCAAAGCTTATTAAATTTTTTATTATCTTTATTAATCACATATTGCTACTTTCATTCCAATGAGTATGAGTAAATGTAAAATTTAGAGGGAGAGAAAAAAAACTGGGTGCTATTACTGTCTTAGTGAGAGAATCTAATCCGTGCTATTAAATATTTATAAGTAACTTGACAATCTTTTCTCATACCTATGTTATTAGAATCATTCGATATGGCATCAAAAAGTTTCAGAAACAGTTTTTACATCAATTAGGGGGGACTAGAAAAAATTAAATGGGTGGTTTCAAGTGTGCCGCAATGCAAAATAATAAAAAGTTCAAAAAATTATTTTTGAAGAAATGTTGATTCTATACGGAGCTGATTGTTCTTCAAAGTCAAATATTTATAATTGGTAAAAATGTTTAAACACTGGATGGAGAATCATCATCTAGTGATTCTCGACCAGGACGTTGTCACATCGGATATTATTGAAAAAAAAAAATGCGTGTGGCACTCGGGGACTGCCGCGGTAAAGCTATTGCATAGCATTCTTTATCAACTTATGCAATTATAATTATTTTATTTATGCAGTATTTTATTCTTTGATATTAATTCAAGTTTTTTCTTTGATATTAATTCAAGTTACACTTTTTGAGCGTGGTGACCGATAAGAAAACAATTTTTTTTCTTTTATTGAATAAGTGAGAAGTTAATATTGTTTAAAATATTTTATTATCTTACAATACATATAGGTTATTCAGGAATTTTTATCATTGAAACTATAGGTTTATGGTAACTGGAATAAGAAACATAAGTTTGAGAGTTGATATACTCTAAATATCTGGAAAATACCTCGTCAATGGTGGTCCCATATTTTGTTGTGGATTCTTGTGGTTCATTATTTATTTTCAAATTAAATTTTTCAGAAATCGTGTCTAATAGAGATAGAATCAGTTATGAGCAGTTAGCAGCTAGTCTACACGCATGCGTCTAATTGCACGCACACAAACACCGTGCCGAAATCTGCCGAATTGAAACAACGTTAGACGATGCACGGCTTTCAACGCCGCACCGCTGTGCCGGTCGGAGTGGGGGTGTTAGGTTTATTTTCGTTACGGAATTTCTTTTTTGTTTTTGATATTTCGATTTTTTGTTTTTCTATTTTTCGATTTTTCGATTTAACGATTTTTGTTAGTGAGTCGTAGACAAAATATGCTGTACAACTCCAGTGGGCTCGAACTCACTCGTGGACGCGGCCAAAAGCACGCTGTCTCACCTAGCATTGGGTCTAAAAGAGATAGAATCAGTTATGAGCAGTTAGCAGCTAGTCTACACGTATACGTCTAGTCGCACGCACACAAACACCGTGCCGAAGTCTGCCGAACTGAAACGACGTTAGACAATGCAGACAATGGTTTATTTTCGCGGAATTTCTTGATTCGATCGCCGCGATCTAAGCCCGCGGTAAAAGCTATGCAATAGCTTAAAAATTAATATCTAATATTTAGGCCAGCCCGGAACATTTGTGATACCAATTTATTAGAAGCCAGAGAAAGCTCTTCTAGTTCTTGTATTGCATAAATGTTCCAGTCCGCAGACGTATATTTAACTCCGCTTTATACTAATACGAATAGGGTCGGATAAAACCTTCTATGGCTATAACGCCGTACCGCTGTGCCGGTCGGAGTGGGGGGTGTTAGGTTTTTTTCGTTACGGCGTTACGAAATTTCTTGATTCGGTCGCCACTCAAAGCCCGCGATAAAAGCTATGCAATAGCTTAAAAACAAGTGTTTGGTACACAAATATGCAAAAATAAGAAAATAAACTACACTTAGAATTATTATTAGTAGAGCTCGGAATTTTTCAGATTTTTGTATTTGAATATTCGTTTGAAACATTATTCGAATACCCAAATTATAAGAGTATTCGAATATTGGAGTATTCGAGTATTCAACTATTCGAATATTCGAGTATACGAGTATTTGAATGTTCGAATATTTGATTAACATATAATTTATACCTCTTTGTTTTGGTATGATGCTTGGTTCTTAATTGATTCCACAAATTACTGGTATTAGTTCTGTGTATGACATTGTGAATACATAATTTACACTGCACACGATTTTCTTTTTTATCGAACTAAAGCCAAATCTTACTGCGTTCTGAACTCATATTTAACACCTGTAGCGGACAAGCATTGACACATACCCACACCCACTAATAGGAATAAAATAAGTAGTAAGTCATAACTAAACAAACATAAACAAGCGTGTGAAAAGTGCGAATGTAAAACAACGTTGGGGTTCCTCTCATTTACCAAATAAAACGTCAGCGCTACAAGGAAATAAATAAATACGATGTTAGCGTAACGTAATAGTCCCGATTCCAAAGTCTGAATTTTGTTAGTCGTTTTTCTTCTACCTTATTTTTAAGCAATAGATAAAGAAGAAACACATAAATTATAAAAATAAATTCAAAATATATATCCGAGTATTTGAACATTCACAGTATTCCGATATTTAATTATTCGAATATTCGAGTATCGAATACTTAGTTGAATTAGTCTAATATCGAGTATTCGAATATTGAACTATTCAAATATTCAAAAATTTGACTATTCGAATATTCGACTATTCAAATATTCGACATTTCCAATATTTCACTTTTCGAATAAATTCCATCTAAACATATCGAATTTTGAGTATTCGAATTTTCAAATTAACCGAATACAATTCCGAGCCCTAATTATTAGGAGTTTCAGTTTTCAGAATCCTTGAACTATCTAAAATTTGAAGAATTTCAGAGAACGAGGATGATAGAATGTGATATGTCTATCTTCCAATAATCTCATATCGATGGCTTAGCGCACATGTGTTAAGAAATATTTTGCTAATATTTCATAATTTAGGTTTAAAGGTTTAAAGCTATAGCTCTCTGTTAGCTTAACAAGAAATGTATCTGCCAAACCCTTTCAAGACTTCTTCGTTGGCTCTGATTACATAATAAAGCAAAATAAGAATGGTTTACACGTTACTTAATTAGCAGTTAAAGTACAAATTTAATAATTATAGCACTTAACAAATTTGAAAGTGAATCCTGTACATTTGCCTCTTTTGAGCAACGACTTGTAAAGGGTGTCAAAATTGGACATTACGATTTAAATTGACCGCCATTTTTGGTAATCTTTATTGACAATAATTCTATGGTGACATATGTCAAGTAAAAACTTTGCGGATATCTGTTTTTTGTCAAAATGGAACAACTGTCCATCGAAAACTATGTTTTTATTGTGAAAACTTATTATCAAAATGAGGAATGTTTTGCCGAAACTGCAAGAAGATGCCGTACGCATCTGTTAGAGTTATTGAGAGTTTTATGAAGTGATTTGAACAGCGGAATTGCAGAATATGAATATCTAAGAGAAATATTGAAAAAACGAGTGAATCCAGTAAATGTGACTGTGTGGTGTTGATTTTGGTCTGGTGGCGTTATTTGTCCTTATTTTTTCCAGAATGAAGCTGGTGATGCGATAACTGAATGGAGCGCAATCTAGGACAATTATTGGAGATTATTTGTGGAACGAATTAGAAGGTATGGATTTTCAAACATGTGGTTTCAACAAGACGGTGCCACTTGCCACATATCGGATAAAACACTAAATCGAATAATTTCTCGAAGAGCTGAGGTTATTTGTTTGCCAAGGTCGGGCGACCTTATACCATTGGATTATTTCTTATGGGGCTTTTTGAAGGGAAAACACCTGAACAGCTTCGAGTTAACATTATTCAAAAAATTAAAGAAATTGAAAAGAATGTTTGCGAAAATGTTATTGAAAATTTTGGAAAACGAATGTTAGCATGCTAAAGAAGCAGGATATCATTTTTCATTATTAACCGTAACATTTAAATTTTAAAATAATACAATAACTTTATAATATTTCAAGGATTTTCTGTGTTTTATTAATAAATTAAATCCGAAGGTCAAATTTGGACACCCATTATTTAATTACTTTCTATTTTTATCCTGTTAAAAATGAATCAAAAGCAGTTTTGAAACAAAAAAAGCTTATGGACGGTACACAAACTAAATATTTGTAATATTTTCATCAAATATAAATATGGAGAACATTAGTTTATGGCGTCTTCTTGATAATTTGACATGGAGTTGGTCATTAGTTTATTAGTTGGTATCCCAGCAATAAATTGTGTATAATCTTTTGGTATACTTTTAGTTTTAATATGAGCAGGTTGTTCTTTTTTGCTTATGACACAGGGAGCTTCAAAGTGTACAACCATTTTAAGTTTCACGATGGATATTCCAAAAGCGTTAAGTGCGGATCTTCTGGTGATGTGAACTTTTTGTGTATCTATTTCAAAGATAGATTGAGCAGACAGGTTCTTATATTATATTATCGTAGGCTTGCTTTTTTGGACTCAAATACATTTAATGTTGTCTTCCTGCCGCAGAATATGAATCGCAAATGTGCCAAGTGCACACTTAACACCAGTGTGCTTCTTTATGTAAAATACTAAATGTACCAAGCGCGGTTAACACGTTTGTGATTCTATATACAGGGTGTTAAAAAAAAGTGTCACAAAATAAAACGGGGGGTAGTATGGGCCAAAATATGCAGAAAAGTCTTAATAAACATATGTCCGCAAATGAATGGTTTCAGAGATACGGAGTGTTTTGTGTTTTGTATTATCTTTTTTCATTCTCAAAAACTTGCTTTTCTTATCGGAGTCTACCGATGTTTTTTCATAGATACTATTTGCAGTTATTATTTTGTTGTGGGTGAATAATTTTATAAATTTTAGTTATGCCTGTTTACACTAATATTGAATTAGCTGACATGCATTTTATGTACGGTCGTGCAAATGGCAATGCATTGAAATGGAGGGAGGGCACTTTAAACATCTCATTTAACTCTATGTTGTTATTGATTGTTTATAAATATCATTTTTTTTTATAATAATAAAAAATTGTTATAAACACAAAATGGTCCGTATCTCCGAAACCGTTAATTTGCGGTCATATATTTATTAAGACTTTTCTGCTTATTTTGGGTCATACTATTCACCATTTTATTTTGTGACACTTTTTTTTTAACACCCTGTATAGGTATTTATCACATTTGTACACTAAAAAACTACGTGTTTAACCTTGTACATACCTGCCACATTTGTGCACAATAAAGATAAACTATTTGTACACATATAATTGCACTTAACACAATTTGTCCCAAAATTGCCATCGGATGATAGAATCTCATCAAATTACGTTACTTATACATAGGAAAATGTTAAAATTCGTACCTGGCCGTTGCTCACCTTTGGTTTAAACAATCACAGTTCTCTTAATTGAAAATTAAAATTAATTAATTCTCGTATCAGCCGTAGAAAAAGTATAGTAGGCAAATTTATTAAATACTCGTTACAAAATAAGCTATAAGTAATCAATAATCTAATATAAATCGTTACCTTCTCTGTGTTGTATTGAAATGCAAGCCCTCATGAATTGTTCCTTCCACACTTGGTATTCGCTCTCTTTCAAATCGACGTACGCACAGCATAACGTTCTCAATCCGTCGCTAGCAAAAGCTTCTAAATGCGCAAGCAACAACGATTTATATTCTTGCGCATTCGGGCTATGGTCCAACCGATCGAATATAACGGAATCGGCGCCTTTGCAGTACAATTTGATCTTACCTGAAAATAAAATAAAAAATTATATGAGATTGTAAATGATAAATTTGCCACTGTTAAGTAGATAAAACGTAGGGACACCAGGTCACTTGTTCTCGTGTCCATTGTTTGGAGAGAAGTTAAAGAAGTCTCTGAAGATAACCTAGGTCACTCATTGGGCTAATCTTCTCCGTCTTTAAGTTTCCAGAGGCTTTTTCAACCGAAGATGATCCAATGTCACTCTTTCAACACCCTTTCTTCGTCTTCGAGTTTCCAGAAACTTCTTCAACGTCTCCTCCAACTAAAGATGGTCCAATATTACTTCTTCAGCTCCTCTTCTTCTTCTTCTTCTTCGAGTCTTCAGAGAACACAAGAACTCGGTGGCATATTACACAAAGTGGCTTGGTGTCTCCACATTTCATCTAGCTTTCAAACATCAAAATCTAACAATACTTACTCCTTTTGGAGGACGTCTTATGAGACATTATAAAATCTAAATTATCCAAAATGTAAGATAGCCCGCTCTGATAATGTATTCTTGAGATAGCAGCGATGGAATAGAATAACCTAGAGAAAGTGAGCTTGGTTCTACTAAAATTATAAAAACCGTATTCTTGACGACGCCGACGTTTTAATTGAAAAAACAATGAAAAATTCGTTGGCAGTAGGGTCCAATTTAGGGTTTACGATCTTGGTGAGGAAAATCGGAAAATCGATTCGTAGTTTCGATTCACATGATAGAGTCAAAGATCGATACAAGAAAAATCGGGAGGAAAAGATCTAATGAAAATCGATCCATTCTATATAAAATATAAAATTCAATATAAACTCCATAAAAAAAACTAAAACTATTTACTCTTTATTTTTAAAATGAAGAACACTTTCTAATTAAGGATTGCAATCCGGATAACCGGATTCGGTAATCCGGCATCAATATACACTTACCGGATCCGGTACCAATATACCGGATCCGGTGATTAGGTCCAGTGATTGCATATTTTGATAAAATAACCGCACTGTTGCATGAGTAGGTACTTTAAAGGCGTGGTGTGTGGAGTCGTTTGACGCTGAAAAAGGAAATGCTTTTGAAAGAGAAGGAATTCAAGGAGAATATTTGATTGATATTTATGATTAATGGCTGATAATTAAGCCGACAACAGTGTAGAAGCTGAGAGAGCCTTCTCGGCCACCGGCTACATTTTTCGGCCACCGGCTACATTTTTCGGTCACCGGCTACATTTTTAGCTCCATTGGAAGTTGATTGGCAGATGACACAATCAACACAATTTGTTTGCTAAGATCGTTTTTTCAAAACAAAAGTTGATTATATGTTTAACCACCAAAGAGTTAAAATATTATAAAGAATAGTTATTGTAATTGTTGTGGTGTGTTGTGCTATTCATTAGATAGATTCGGTAGTCTGTCATATATAAGAATAAAACTGAATATAATTCTGAAATATCTAATTATTGACATTATTGTGATCTCAGTTTAGGGTAATTATTATGTTAGTTTTAATTTTATAATTTTGATTAATAATTGGTATGTTCCAACAACGACCAGAAACCAGTCACTGACACCAGAATTCTGCGCAGTAGATTGTTGGGACCGCCAAATTCTCTACTGCGCAGAATCCTGGTGTCACTGACTGGTTTCTGACCGTTGTTGGAACAACTCTAGTATCGGGGACAACACTAATAATTTGTAATTGCTGTGGTGGGAGGTGTTTGTGTGAATACGTCTTGTTTGTTTTCATTTGCCGTGACTAGCAGTAGTATTTTATAAACTTTAGAAGCAAATTTCACATACATGAACAAATAATAATAATAATAATAATGCCGTGACAAGAAGACGAAGTAACGACTTCTCGTAGGGTGGCGGCTTCGGTGCCATTATAAAATTTCAATCCATACCTGGCTACGCCGACCGGCATAAACACCAACGGCCCGGACACAGCTCATCTACTTTGTTAAAAGGAGACCGATGTACAAATAAAACGCGTACGACATGCGCGCTACAAATGATACGCGAGTGTTGGAACAGACCTAATATTGATTTCTACTCTATCTTTAAAATCTAACTAATAATACTGAAGCACAAGTTACGTTACGTTAAAGAATTTAATTTGAGATTGTAATTGTTTTGACACAGAATTTAATTGTTTTCTCTTTTTAAAATTATTCGTAATAAAGTCGATTTCGTATATGTATTTTTTTTTAAATTTCATTAACAGTCCATGTTGAAATGAAAAAGAAAATTTACGCTATTCTGGGTAGATCAATCTGGCCGTATTGAAAATGAATCCGGATTGCAATCCCTAATTCTAATCTTTGAAAGTTTTAAAATAAGACTGTCGGTCAAACAGTCCGATCCTGTTCTTGGTTTACCTTCAGCGCTGACGTTACCGCTGAGACTGGCCGATCGAGAATCGATTGGAATGTTCTTTGTACACAGACCGACGCGTTAAGGAAGGATTTCGCGAACGCATCGAGATTCTTCGAGTCAGGATTTGATTTTTTTCTAGACTGTTACATTTTGAATATAAGTGGATTATTTTGCCGTACTACGTTAAGTTTTAAGATACATGTTGTCACGTAAAAGATAACTTGTTAAATAAATTGTATTTTTGAGGTGTTTATGGTAATAATAATAATAAGACGAAAGACCCATAGACTTATAGGAAGTGGACAAAAATCTAGGACTTCTCATAGATCTTTAGATCTATTTCTCCTTATAAATATGATTTTAAAAAATTCAAAATCGCGACACAAAAGATCGATTCTCAATAAAATCGAATCGATATCAGAAACTGTAAGTCAGATTACAAGAAGTCATTCATTGGGCATCGCCGCCTAATGGGTTTAATGTTGTTAATATTACAGGAATAACAGTATTATTCTTTAGGGTTCCGTACTCAAAGGGTAACCAACAGGACCTTATTACTAAGCCACTGCTGTCCGTCTGTCTGTCAGCGGACTGTATCTCATGATCCGTAATAGGTAAACAGAATGTGTATGTCTGTTGCCGCTATAACAACAAATATTAAAAATAAAAATAAATTAAAAATTAAAGGGGACTCCCCTACTAGAAACAGGTTTATTTTTTGGATTTTTGTGCTCGATCTTAATAAAGTATTTAAAAAGTACCTACATATACAATGGTGCGGAACCCTTCATGCACGAGTCCAGCTCGTATTTGGCCGATTTTAATTAAAATAAAACCAATTGTTTATTCTTTAATTAGTTGGTGCACAAGAATAGTGACACAACTTAAAAACAGATTTTTGAGGATATCCATTTTAAAATTTCATCTTTCTTGTAAGAATCTTGCAAATGTTTAAATAATTTAATCCAAAAAAACAATATTGCTTTGATAACATTAAGAAAAAAACAAAAAATATAAATTTTCATCTCTTTTAAATTATGACGTTCTTCCAGATATATTTATAATGACCTTTTCAACACTAAATCCCCAATTTGACCTGTGTCAGTGTTGAAAATAACATTGAGTTTATTTTTAATAAAACTTGGATATTTTGAATTAAGTCACTCTAGCCGAAAATTGACGATATTGTCTCATTGACTCGTGGCATTGTAATACGGGAAAAACGACACAACCGCATTCCAGCGGTCATTTTTGAAAATAGCAATATGTCGTTCTTTTACAATAAGCTCGAACATCTAAGTTTTTGATTTGGGTCACTATTCTTGTGCACTAAGCCCTAATTTGACTTGCGTCAGTGTTGAAAATATTGTTCTTAGTTTATATTTAATAAAACTGGCATATTTTGAATTATGTCAATCTAGCCGAAAATTGACGATTTGTCTCATTGTCTGTCGGCGTACAACTAGATTTTTGAGTCACTCGCGACATTGTAATACGGGAAGAACGACACAACCGCTTGCCAGCGGTCATTTTTGAAAATAGCGGTATGTTGTTCGTTCACAATAAGCTCGATAATCGAAGTTTTTGAGTTGTGTCACTATTCTTGTGCATCAAGGATTTAATTGAAAAAGAAATTCGGGAATTTTTCGAATATCACTGACAGTAAAACAGTGAAATTTTTTATTTAATTTTACGAGTTTTGTGCAACGAAATGAATTTTATTCAAATATTATTATGGGAGCAGATTATGGAGAATGTACTTAAAAATAGTCAAGAAAGTCTTTTCCAAAAGAAATCCTTTCGATACTTTGTGAGACAAAAAGTTTTTTAACTTTTCAATATAAATAAATCTATGTGCCGCTAGCAAATAGAAATGGTAATAATAAAAGATGTATTACTTGACTCTGTGGTTTTATTTCACATGTTTTGACGTTTATTTATTAAAATATTCAAAAAATCTTAAACTTTTACTTTCTTTCGAACATTAACATCGACGTAATAGCAATACTTCTTACCGTTAGGATCCCTCACGATGACGCTCATCCTTTTCCTTGCAGAGGTAAACTCCAATACGGCCAATATTTCGTACTTCTCCTTCTTCCCTAATGCGTCTATTTCGACGGAATCGGGCGTTCTGCTCTCGAAGATATATCCGTACTTACTGGCTCCGTATACGAGCGCTCTTTCGTCAGGCGATGCTGCATGATAGATGATGCTGTCTGTGGATTTTTCGGGAATTACCGTATGGCAGATAGACAGCAGGACTAACATTTCTCGAATTAATGCCGCGTTTTTGTGATCTGATCGCAAGTGCTGAAAAATGGTTCCAAAATTGTTTTCTTTCATAAATATTTTTTTTGAAATGGGAAGAGATTTCAAGATAAGACCGTTAAAGCATAAATCCAAAGATATGCTAAAAAGCATTATCGAGATGCTTCAGATCCTCGACCAGCATGAAATAGAAAGAAGATTGAAGCAGACAATGTAACGAAGTTACTTTTATTTACTTATTTCAGAAACATAGAATCCGTCGGAAAACCTAATTCAGAATTTTATTTAATTTTTGTTAAACACCATTAAGTCTGAGCTCACGGGGATTCTCACAGCAGCAAAATAAATCAGCAGAAACAATATCCACTGGAAGGGACATGCTCATTTTAACATATAGCAGACAAGCAGACGAATTTATTCAGGATTAGTACTAGAAGGTCACGAAGCTTTGGCCGAAGAATCCATCAACAATGTGGTCACCTTAAGATGGATTAAAGGTCATGCCACATCAAAAGGTAATTCTTGCTGATCCACTAGCCAAGAAGGCAGCCAACCAAACACTTTTTGTACCTGACCCATCTGTTGGACTGACACAATCGGTAGTGACAGACCCAATTAAATAAAATTCCCTTCTGAAATTCAAGGAAAGATGGGATAAAACAAGAAACTGCACAGTTGCCAGGGAGCTTCACAGGCATTTTGACTGGTCATTGCCAAGTACGGAAGCATATCCATATGATGACTGTCAGAATCCACACTCTGTAGGGGATGCGAACAAGAAGATGAGAGCATATCCTCTACGATTGCCCGACGTTTTCATTAATTAGAAGAATTTTGTTCGGCGAGTATCAGCTAACACCGGCCGATATAAGAGAAGCACCTCTTGGCGACGTTGTCAACTACATTGAACCTGTAGGCTGGCTCACGAGCTAGGAGCTGCCTATCATCTTAGGAGGACACACAATAGGCCTAGTGAGGCCTAAGCGCCGTGAGGTGGTAACCAACTCTCCACACGTTCAGGTTCAAAGAGATATAATAGCTACAACTAGCTATTGGTCATATTATATTATCCAACAAATAGCTTGTCCTGCGACGTGGAGTAGAATATTGAGTTTGATTTCTAAAGATTATCATAATTCTACGGAATTACATAGCGAGAAAATACGAATGAATTGTGATTGATATCAAAAAGAAAATCAAGAATAACCGGTTAGATTCTCATATCAAAAGAAAAAGAGCTACAACAATCAAAGTGAGTGGTTCATCTCCTTGCAATAAAGGAAAATGGTTTGTATTTGAGCAATTGCGTTTTTAACTCATTCACTTTTTTATTCAAAGCTATTACCAAATATACAACTGCAACGATCGTTTGTAACAAAATGATACAACAAAATGAAGTTGTCTCTATTGAATTGATTTTAGACATATGCTACGAACATGTGCTAGAATTCGCATGCGACACTGGGTGACAAGTTGCTTGTGCAACATTATTCAAAGGTCGTTTGACATTTGTTTCAGCTGCGAATATCGGTAACTGTCAGAATTTGACGTTAATTTTAGCTTCACAATTCGACAACTGTTAGAATTGGCATCAGATTCGCATATCGACGACTTTGGGAATTTAACTTTGAACATTTGTTTCAATTTAGCATGTCAGTAACTGTCAGAATTGGTAATTTGTTTCAACTTTGCATGTCATAATTGTCATTTGTTTAACCTTCACATGTCAGTAACTGTCATAATTTAAGATTTGATTCATGTTCGCATATTGGCAACGTCAAAAATGTCATTTGTTTCGCATATCGGCAACTGTCAGATTTTTAATGGTTTACATTTGTTTTAATTTCACATGTCAGTAACTGCCAGAATTTGTCGTTTGTTTCAAAATCACATGTCAGTGACTGTAATAATTTAACATTTGTTTAATGTTTGCATATCTGTAACTATCAAAATTTGTCATTTGTTTTGCTACCAAAATTTGAAGTTTGATATTTTTCTCAGCTTTGCATGTCAATAAATATCAGAATTTGTCGTTCGTTTCAGCGTCGCATGTCAGTAAATGTCAAAATTTGTCATTTATTTCGCATATTAGCAACTGTCAAAATTTTGATGTTTGACAATTGTATCGTGTTCGCATATCAGTAACTATCAAAATTTATCATTTGTTTCACATATCGCCAACTATCAGAATTTGACATTTGTCTCAGCTTCGCATGTCAATAAATATCAGAATTTGTCGTTTGATTCAGCTGCTCATGTAAGTAAAGGTCATAATTTTGCGTTTGTTTCAACTTCGCATGTCAGTAATTGTTATGATTTGACATTTGTTTAATGTAAGCACATAGGTGTCAAAATTTGTCACTTGTTTCGCATATCAACAACTGTCACTGTCGTTTGACATTTGTTTTAGCTTTGCCCGTAACTTTCAGAATTTGACGTTAGAAATTTGTTTAGGCTTTGATTGTCAGTAACTGTCAGAATTGACGTTTGTTTCAGATTCGATTTCAGTAGCTGCCAGAATGTACCGTTTGTGATTTGGTTTTGCTTCACATATCAGTACCTAGGTAATTGTAATTTCTTGTTTGACATTTTTTTCAGCTTCGCATGTCTAACTATCATAATTCGACATTTGGTTCAGCCTCCCATATTGGTAACTGTTAAAATTTTGCATTCATTTGTTTTAGCTTCACAGTTTGTCAACTGTCAGAATGAAGACATTTGTTTCAGAATAATATGTAGGGAACTATTTAACGTTTGTCATTTGTTTCAGCTTCGTCCGTCAACAACTGTCAAAATTTGTTAAGGCTTCGATTATCAGTAAGTGTTAGAATTGACGTTTGACTTTTGTTTCAAATTCGATTTCAGTAACTGCCAGAATGTGTCGTTTGTCATTTGTTTCAGTCTTTTACGTTCGCCATTTTTGTCATCTTTACATTTCGGAAAATGTCGGAATTATGACTGTTGTTTGACATTTGTTTCAGCTTCGCCAGTCAGTAACTGTCAGAATTTGACGTTTTAAATGAAGAAACAGAATCGTTCAATGGCGCCTAAGCTAATAAAAAGAATAGGAACGACAAATTGCAGAATCAGAGCACAATACAGAACAGGCTTGAAGATCTTAGTGGCATATGTCAAGGAATTGAAGATATTTCGTATTTTTAAAAGGTACAGAGTATTGACAATTTTAAATGAAATCTGGAGAGGTGTGGAAGATTAGCTACAAAATAATGTTACTCTTTAAGGGAGGGCATGCAAGGTACCTCGATTTTGTGATAGTGGATACACAAACACCATGAGTAATATATAATAACACAAATTTGTCGATAAGTGTACAGTTTTTGAAGGTATTTACTTACAGATACTAATAAGGAATCGTCCACGTTTTCTGTAAGCGGATAAACGTCTCGACCGACCGCGCATTTTTTAAATTCCATTATGTTCCTAGTAAGAGTACCAGTCTTATCGGAGAAGATGTATTTCACTTGGCCCAATTCCTCGTTCAAATTAGAAGTCCTGGCCATGGCTGGCGTGTCCGTTTCGGCGTGATACATTTCCCTGTCCATATTTATAAATATAGCCTAAAAATACACAAACGTTACTATTAATATAGAGCTTAGAAAATCTACAATTTGAATTCTGCAACGAACACTGTAGTAACACGTTTTTTTGGTGAAACTATGTTACAACAATATTATAAACTATTAAGAGGTGTATTTTTATAAAGATAAACTGTTCGTCAGGTTACTGCCAAAACAAAATAAGTACATTTTTTTTTTCATTTTTGAGTTAAGTGCATGTCTAACATTAAAACTATCTAAACTATGTACTGAGAGAACCAGATAATTGTATTAAACGTTGATACACATGTGCACATAAAAAACTAAGTATATTACAAGAATTATATTGGCCTCTAAAACAAGACAATAAGTATTTATGTAAGGTTTAAAAATTATTTTAACTTTACTTTGTGTACAAGGAAATACGTTTTTTTGGTAAAGGAAGTCCTCTAAATGCAAATAAAATTAAAATCACAAAAGCGTACAAATGATGTAGGTCCATTTCGGTTAAGTAAAAACAAGACCTACTGAAATTATGTAAAAGTGATGTTATCCCTGTAGAATACCATCAATATTACAAATTGTTGCCTAACTCTAAAGAGGTAAAAGATTTAGTTCCAGAGCCAGCAGCTAAAGATTCTGATATAGGTCCCAGCAGACATTTTCGATATTATTAGCTATAACTCTACTTATTGAGGTAATTCATTACGTAACATTGACTAGAAAAATATACCTCCAATTTAAATTTACCAAAAGGTTCTAATTTATATATAAATTTACGTAAATTATACCAAGAAATCTACCTCGTACACATATCTGTTTAAAAGTAACTTTAACCAAATCAGAAAGAAGGAAACTACTAACAAAAATAACCAGAATTACCTCAAAGGTAAATTTCATTTGAAGTAAAATTAGGTACCATAATTAGGTAACATCTACCTATTTGGCTACTAAAAATAGTCTTAATAGTAGAATAATCCTACTAGATGGTTAGGTTAGGTTGAAACTGAGTGGGATGATCTCATCGCCCTCCACTGCGACCCAGATGGATCTATTGTGGCTCATAACTAACTTATAGTTCACCGTACAAGCCACACCTTTTGATGAAGGTCATGGTTGAATTGGGTGAGACTTCTCTAAAGTCGGTAGGCTCCAGTCGGGTAAATCCGAAGATCTGGAACCTGGTTCTTTCCAGAGCGGAGCAGGTACATAGAATGTGCTCTGTAGACTCGTCCTCCACGCTGCAGAATCGATAGTCCGATGTTTGTTGCAGACCTATCCTTCTCATGTGGTTGCCCAGACGGCAGTGTCCTGTCATCAGTCCAGTGAAAATGCGTAGATCTCTTCTACTCCATTCTCGGATCTGAGCAGAGGCGTTCATGGAAGGGTTGTTTATAAACGCCTTCGAATGGGTTAGCCCTGGGGTATCTCTCTAGTTCGTGAGTGTTGCACCCTCCGTCCATTTTGAGATAATTCCTTTGGCAGTGCTTTTTGCAATGCCCAGGAATGGTTCTGGTCCTATGAACACAGATTCGGTTCCTCTTTTAGCAAGTGCGTCGGCTTTTTCATTGCCCTCCACACCACTGTGTCCCGGAACCCAGATCAAAGTAACTTTGTTCCGGGCACCGAGACACTCTAGGGTATTTATACAGTTCCAAACCAGCTTTGAGTCAACTCGATTGGAGCTCAAGGCCTTAAGGACTGCCTGGCCATCTGAAAAGATCTTTATAGTCTTGTTTGCGGGGAGAAAATTAATCAACTCTCTCGCTCCCAATTCTATAGCAATCATTTCTGCTTGGAAGATCGTGGCTAGAGAGCCTAGGTTTATTGATATGTTAACTCGAGGCATCTGGCCGAAAACTCCCGCTCCTACTCCTTTTTCAGTTTTGGAGCCGTCCGTGTACAGCGCATAGTCTGCCTGGAAGAGGGTTTTTTCCCCTTTGCTCCATGCGTCTCTCTCTGGAATGAGGACGCTGTATGGCTTTTCTATGTGCTGTCGGGGAACTAGCGAGTCCGAGACCATGCCGAGGATGGGGTGATTATTAATTTTACTCACCAGCCCCGTCTTGTCCCACCGCAGTTCTTCGTAACATTGACTACCCACTTTGAGGAGCCTGTAGGAGACCATTCTGGCCTCCCTTTCCAACACAATGTGGAGAGGGGTTAGGTCCAGCATGGTCTCCATGGCTCCCGTAGGTGTAGTTGACATTGCTCCAGTTATGGCGAGACACGCAAGCCGCTGTATTCCAGCCAGCTTTGCTCTAGCCATCCGTTGGAGTCCCTTGTCCCACCAGACGACAGAGCCGTACGTAACCATGGGTTTTACCACTGTTTGGTAGATCCAATAGATCAGTTGAGGACTGATCCCCCATGCTTTGCCGCATATCCTTCTGATTGTCCAGAGGGATAATCTGGCTTTGTTAATGGTTTTTTCCAATTGGGGGTTCCAGGTGAGTTTCTTATCTAGGGTGATTCCCAAATATTTCACCTCCTCCGCAAAAGGAATGGTTTCCCCATCCAAGGTAGGTTGTCGAAGCTTGTCGAGCTTCCTTCTCTTGGTGAAGGGGACAATGACAGTTTTGCGGGGGTTAACAGACATCTGCTCCCTTTCGCACCATCTGTTGATTGTATTAAGGGCTTGTTGAAGGATGTTGGAGATCACCTCTTCGAACTTTCCCCTAATTATGATAACCAGATCGTCCGCATAGCATTGGAAATCCACCCCCTGTCGGGAGAGATCGTCTAACAGGTTATCCACCAGAATAGTCCACAGTAGGGGTGAAAGTACGCCGCCTTGTGGACATCCTCTGGCAGGCCTACTAGATAGATTTGGTTGTACATTTCTCGTAACTTTATATCTCCATAGTAACCATTTGGATGCTTTATTTACTCTAGTTTAAAGTAATAATTATGTCGATATCGTAGAACAATTATACCTTGTTTATCTACTTACTTTCAACCAAATAGTCGATTACTTATTTAGTTGACCTAAAAGTCATCTTTAAGCCGCCCCGGAGCGCCACGGCAAATAATAATATAGCCGTCCCTTTTCCCGGACAAGCTCAGCTTTTGGGGTTAAAATTCACTTGTAAGGGGGTGAATTAGGGAGAGTATTATTATTATTATATTATAAATGTTTATTAACTTTATTGTAGCAATTACCTGAAAAATCTACTACAAAGTAATTTCGACTATAAACCACCAATTTAAAGCCTAGCCACACGTAACCTATTTGTAAAATTTATATTATTCAGGTTATTTTAACAATTAGGTTGTTCACTTATTGTTTTCGTTAATATTCTTGAAAATTTCAGCCATTTTAAAAAACCGTTACAGTGCTAAACTTAATTCTTTTGTGGTATAGATAGAGCTACAAATGAATGTAAAAAATCATAAATAATATCGTTAACTTTCGATTATTTTCGTAAAGTCAAACTTTCAAAATCTCAAGTGCAGTATAAAGTGAGAAATTTACAAATTACTCCTGTATCTAGTAAATTGATTTGTCAACACACGTTAAATAAAAATGTACACTTAATATAGTTGAAATTTACCAATATATGTATTTCCAAAAATAGGATGACCTAAATATGTTATATTTACCTACATGTAAATTGTTGATAAAACTCACAAGTTATTAATTCTTTAAATAGGTAAAGTTAACTAACATGTCGTAAACTTTAAAGTAATTCAACTTAGTCAAAAGCTTTTTGCAAAATACATAGATTTCTATAGTCGTATTAACTTTTAAGTCAAATTAGCACAATACCCCATATTTTCTTAACATAATTGAAGTACGATTCCAACATTCAAATTTTTAAAATTAACTTAACTAGAAAAATGGATGAAAATTACAGAAAAAAAAACATTGATTTTCTAAAGTGATACACAACAAATGTAACATAGTTTTAGCTGATATTATTTTAATTTTTACATCATAATATTTCTTCTTATATTTTTTCTTATTAGAGAGAATTTTGAAGAGGCATTGTTATTTTTTAAAGTAGAATTGTTAACATGTACGACAAAATTTCCTTCGCATTAATTTCAACAATCGTGACCTTTTGATTCGTCGCAATTATATTACATCTACTTATTTATTTATTTTCAATCTTTGCTGTGAATTAAGTATATATTTTAGTTGTGTTTGTCACTTTCTACAATATTTCTATTTTTATAGATAAAAATACCAAACGAGCATAAAATTTATCTTTTTGTGCACTTGGAGTGATTCGTCATCTGAAAATGTTTGTAGTTTCTACCTAAAGCTGGTTAAATCAACGTCGAATTGACGTTATACTGACGTCAAATTTCCATAGAGAAGGAATAGTAACCAAACGTAGGGCTACTACAATGTGGATTTAGGCGTAATTCTACCTATTTTGGTCAATAAAATCAAATATTGACGTCTCCACTTATGTCGAATCCACGTCGAGCCAACGTAAATTTTCCTTAAATGGTTATATCTAATTTTGCGACCAAATTTATTATATATTTTAGGTAGTCTCGACGTCAAATTTAACCAAAATGTTTACTAGGGTAAAATAACTTGCTTTAGAAGAGCAGGACAAATGAAACAAAAACAGCTACTTATAAATCTACAAGAAGATAAGTGCACAAAAAAACGTTTTTTCTGCTAAATACTTTGGTAGTTTTAAGTTTTATGATAAATTTTTCTGTTTAATATCCAATTGTATTAAAATTCAGTTCCTAAGTAAAAACGGAGTTTTTCTTCTATACCTGATTTTTCCTCAAATGTTATAAAGTTTTAAACATTAATAACTCAAAACTATAAAAATGTAATTTATCTTGTTTTGGCAGTAACCCGACGGGTTGTATCTCTAAGCACGGTATTAGGCAACCAGATATACAATTTTTATTTATTTTAAGTTGAATTGAGTATATAGGAAAATCAATAGTACATTGCGTTACTACAGTGTTTGTTGCAAAATATCTAAAGAAACAGTTGATTCTAACTAGGTATTAATTAGTTTATATTTTAAAAAAATGTAAAGTTTTCTAGAATTATAAAAAAATACTACTTTTTTTATATATCCATGTTTCAAGTACTTTCTGTCAACTTAAAAATCTGAATAAATTATACTAGTTGCCAAATACATTTCGCGCGTCCTAAAAAACATATAAAATAAAACAGTAATGATATTTTTTATAAAACATTACATTTCCTATAATTTCTATCCGAAAGATATTTTATAAAATTCGTATTTTAAAAGATAAATCGTAGCATTTTTTAAAATATATTATCAATATAAAGCATAAAACTGATATAATAGTTATTTATGTACCAAGTCAGCAAAGTGATTCTTTATCGAACCAGTCTGAGATTATGAGCCGAACGAGAGAAGCGAGCGTGGCGATTAACAGGCGTGTTCGATAAAGATACTTTGCTGGTCCATACAAACTTTTATCGCCAACCGTAAATAATTAAAATTAATAAAAAAGGAGATATTATAACATCACATACATTTTGGAATGACAAAGTAAACAAACAGAAAAATAACAGTGATTACAAAACAAATCAGTTACATACTATTTCTATCAGACGGCCATGCCTATACTAATAAATATTAGCGGCAGATAAAATATTTGATTTTACAGTGAAATAAAGTGTTTGTTTACTTCCGCAAATCCGTATGGTAATGCATGGCTCTATTGACGGTTGGTGATAAAATAAATTACCCGCCGACTGAACTATGTCAAAATAAAATCGTAAAGATATTATTAAAACTCACCTGAATAAATCTGACAAGCTCTAATGTGACTTGAAGGGATATGGGTACCAAATTGTTAAACAGAATCAGAAACGTTATAAAAGTATAAAAATAACTCTGTGTAACATCTGCAACGAAAAAAAAAAAAAGTTTAATATCGAGCGAATAATAGTCGACAATAAATTACGAGATGATTTTTTTTTTTAAATTAGGTACTTAAAAAAACTGAATCCCTCTGAATATAATATCACTCTTTTATCCTCAGATAATGAAAGTATCACAATTTCGTTAGAAATTTTAAATTAGTCAAAAAAAACTAAAAAGAATATAAAATTTATCCGAAACGTACCTTTTTATTGATATATTTTTAAATGAAAATATTAAAATGTGAAAACAGATTAATCTACGAAATATAGGTAATTATTTAAATTAATTTACGAGATTTGCCAAATCAAAAAATGCAAAATTAACAAGAGAGAGCCTACAAAATCAAAACTCTCGTATACTGCTTGCCTCAAAATGTAGTGCTCTGCCAATAAAATTACAAGCTGATGAGATTCAACGACAATCATTCTTTGTCTACGATGCATTTGTCAAGATCATAAATACATCGAATTTCAATAGAAAATGGAGTCTACACTACACTTACTAGTAACAATGCCAAAAACGGCCACTTACTCTGGCAGTCAGGGTACGAACTTTTGGATCAATAAAAACAGCTGTTAAACAAATAGGTTTTTATAATAATAGTATTGCATGGTAAATTAAAATTTAAAGCAATTATCAGTTATAACCATTACGCAATTTGATAGAGATCCAGTTCTTGTTGCTATAACATTGAAAAAATGGCGCTTTGTTAGACATATTAGGAGGTAATTAGAAGATCAAGGAAAAATATGTTAAGAAGATCAAAAGAGCAAATATAGAGAAATGAATAAAATCAAAACCACAAAGACCTAAATCATATGAAATTACGTTAAATTTATAAAAAACTTTAAAAAAAGAAGATACCTTCTTACCTTCAAGACCAATATACCAGTCAGTCTTAGTGTGTTGGTTGGTCCAGAAAACATTAAATATACAACAAATCACGCACATTGTAAACAGTACACCGAAAAGTAGAAGAATTTGCGTGTTAGTCATCTTGTCGACGTTGGAACGCTTCAGAGGCGCCAGAGCGGAATTTTTCATCAATTTAGTGTCATGGCCAGTGTAGATAACTACTCCAAATATCCAAGAGGTGTTACGTAACAGCGAACCTCTCAAAAGGATCTGATCGGGACCCAAAGGTTCCGGCCTGAAATTAATTGTTTTTATCAAATACATAACACATGCAGTGCGATTATAAAAACAAATATGACGAGCTACGATTTCCAACATCGTGCTTCGAGATTCCTCGGATCGCTAGCTTAATTCAAATGTCAGAACGGTCATTCATGTCACTCGTGGTGGGAGAACACAATACAATATGAAAATAGTAAGACAATAATAGACCAGGCGATCCCACATAAAATTAGTTTTATCAAAATCTTTTTCATGAAATCAACCCCACATAAAGTCAATCCCGCATAAAATTAACACATTAACTACTTTAAAATAAATCCCACATAATAGATCAATCTCACATAAAAGATCCATTCCAAGTAAAAAATCTCACTCACGTAAAACCAAATCCAAATCAAAATAATTTTAGACAAGACCATCACAAATAAATTTAATTTTATTAAAGCAAATCATATAAAATTAATCTCACATAAAATAAACCCCATTTAAAGCCAATTACGCATAAATCTAACCCTATAAACAATAAATCCCAAATAAAAGATCCATCCCACATAAAAATCAAACCCACGTAAAACCAATCCAGCATCAAAATAATTTAAAAAAAGGAAATTAATTCCAACTCAAACGTGATCAAGACGTAAAATAATTTAAATAAATAAATCACGAAGCCATATGTCACAAAATAAAATAGTTGCAATCGTTTCCCTTCGGAAAACAACTACTCCCTTGGCAAATACCTCAAAAGGTATTGCATTTCATCCAAAGGAAGACACTCTACATTTGATTTTGCTCACTAAGGAGAACGTCATTTTTGAACCGGTTTCGTCCTTATTAGGACTCTTCAGCAAGAAATAGATAATTCTCAATTCCAGTCTCTAATAAAATTGACGAAGGCAACACGTTTTCTAATATACATTAATGATAGTAACTTGAATTCTTATTCTTTTCGCACCTATTTTATTTTGTGACATATGGTTTCGTAATCTATTTATTAAATTTATTTTAAAATAATTTTATCAAAGTCAATCTCATATAAAATCAGCACCCCAAAAAACCAATCCCGCTTAAATTTAACCCTACAAAAATAAATTTCACATAAAAACAATTCCTCATAAACAGTCAAACCAACGTAAAACCAATCCCACATAAAAATAATTTTATACAAGACGATCCCACAAAAAATTAATTTTATTAAAGTCAAACCTACATAAAAATTTTCCCACATAAAAACAATCTCACATAAAACCAATTCCACATATTTACCTCTTAAAAAAATAAATCTCACATAAAAAACTAAAGCTACGTAAAATCAATACCACATAAAAATAATTTAGAAACTATCCCACATAAAATTAATTGTATCAAAGTAAATCCTACAAAAAATCAATCCCATAACAAAATAAATGCTACAAAAATAAATCCCACGTAAAACCAATCCCACAAAAAGAATTTTAGACAAGACTCACGTAAAACCAATCCAACATAAAAATAAGTTTAGACAAGAAATATTTTAATGATCCCACATTAAAATATTTTATTAAAGTCAATCCCATATAAAATAAACCACACGTAAATTTAACCCCATAAAAAATCAAACCTACCTAAAACAAATCCCACTTCAAAATAATTTAGACGATTCTACATAAATTTAATGTTATCCAAACAAAATAAAACCAATCAAAATCAATCCCACATTAAAAAAATCAATTTCACATAAAACACTCAATCCCACATAAAAATTTTTTTTACATAAAACACTCAATCCCACGTAAAACCAAAATAATTTTATGTGGGATAACAATAGCGATGAATATTTTAATGTTACTTCATAATAGTTATTAAACTCTCCCCTTTTTTCCACAACGTTATATTTCTCCGGGTCAGTATCGGCACAATGTTGACAAACCTATGACGAGCGCTAAGTTTCATTGCGAACATTTTTAAACCGCTCTTGAGCGACATTATTGACATTTACACTTTCGATACTCAAATACTGGATACTTACGATCTATCGCTATGCCTGATGACTCCCTTGAAATCGTACAAGTGCCTGTTAGGTGGTTCAGTTTCAATCGTGCCCGATAGATTTTTCAAATCGTTAGTGGAAGTAATGGCTGCCGTGCTAGATAAGGCCTGTCTGATTTTTAAATTGGTTTCTCCGTCTAAATTTGACGTTTCTATAAAACTCATTCCCTGAGGTTCGCTAAAATAATATAATAGAATAATTTACAAAGATTGTTATACTTGCTTTTAAATATTGTTACCTGGACGATAAAAGTACCAAATCTGCTGGGAAAAAAGTGTTGTTCAACACTTTGATAATGTCTCCCACTATTACTTTTTTCCATTTTACAGTAATCCAACGATCTTCTCTTAGAACTTCAATATGCCGATTGTTAATTTCATCGTCAGCTCTGTGTCTTTTCTAAAAACATAAAAACGTTTATTCTAATAATACTATCATATTTGGCTCAGTGGAAAACTTTTTCATGGAAGAAGGCTTATTAAAGCGACTACTTGAAAATGTTCATAGCTCTGAAAACAGAAGACAGTTGAACATTCCAAAGACTAGAGTAGCCAAAGTACTTCGTTAGTTACACGATAGTCCATCTGGAGGACTTCTCGGTATTAAGAAACCCCTTCAGAGACTAGTGTAAGAAATGTAATGTGCTGTAAGTAATGGAATTTATCGGTAAAGAAAACTTTCCCTTAAAACAATACAACGTCGATAGCCCATTTGAGAGGATTGTCTTAGATATTGCTGACCGATAATGGTAATAAATACATGATGATGGTTATGGATGAATTATTTCACGAAGTGGATGGAAGTCTGCGCCATTCCAAATGAAGAAGCCGCAACTGTTGCAGACATGTTGATAATATAGTTTATCAGTCGATTTGGAGTTGCCTTGTAGATCCACAGCGATTACGGAAGATATTTTGAAAGCTAGCTTTTCTGAGGAATCTATGACTGCACTCATTGGCAAATACCTATCAAAAGGTACTCAGCGAGATTGGGATTAGTATCACTAGCTCTTCGCAATGGCCTACAGATCTGCCGTCAATAAATTAACAGACTGACCTGAAAAAGTTATAGCTGGTAAAGATTACGTGATCCAGTTATGGAAAAAATTTACAATAAGCACGAGTTGGTTCGCTCGCATCTTAAAATCGCCAGCGACAGGATAAAGAAACGGTACGATACCCAAGCCACACATATGGATGTTTCACGAGGCGAAAAAGTTTGGCTGCAAAACCCAAAAAGACAAAAGGGTTATTCTTTAAAATTACAAGGTTCTTGGAAAGGTCCTCATCTTATCAAGAAAAAATGTATGATGTCATTTACCGTATAAGAAAGGTTCCAAATAGAAAACCACCTAAGGTAGTATATTAAAATCGGCTTACGCCATTTAAGGGTGATCATGACCAAGAAGAAGTAAACCACCTCCAAGAAACACCTGACCTTATCTTTGAAGAATTCATGGGTGCATCTGGAGGTACCAGGTAAGTAAGATATGGTGTTACAACCGAGCAACAACAAGATCTACTCCTACTTCTAAAAGACTCGTTTGTCCATAGCACTCTCAGCAATATCAATGACGCACAAGAAATGGCATCTATTTTTCAGAAGAAGTTTTCGTAAATTATCAGAACTTAGAGATCAGTTACAAGCCCCTGGAAAAGCCTTGACACTTCAAGATGAATTACGTTACCATTTCAGTCTGGTAACAAAGAAAACTTTTCCCTCCCTGTGTAAATGCGACTTTTTAACTCTCTACCACTACTTTAAAAATGAAGTATAATGCTAGTATTAGGAGAAGAGCGAGCAAGTAAAGACAAAGATTCATATATAATTATAATTTATTCTTAACTACAAAAAGCGGTTAAAATTAAAACAATGTTTTAACAGTTTAAGTGAAAGTTTTGAACTAGAGCCACATTCTTCAACAGACACAAACAGTGTTCTGTAACAATGGCCTATCCATAATTTTTTACAAGATTGTTTTCAGACAAACTCTTTTTATATGCCTTATATGGAAATACCCTACCAATGCAAGATCCAAATAATTTCTATTAGAATTAAGTACAGATTTCGCCCTGTAGATCGGCGTGAGAGAATAGATCAACCCAAAAAATTACAATCGGGGTGATAGAAGCCCAGCAAATAGCCACTTTCGGTCAAATAATATCTGCTTGTTGTAGGAGATGACTAAAAGAAGTAAGTCACCTAGCAAGAATAAGGCCAGCATAATGTGGAGAAACCGGCTCCATGAGAAAACAGCGCAGGACAAAATAGTGCAGACAAAATAGCGCAAGAAGAAAATAGTGCAGGACAAAATAGCGCAGAACAAAAGGCGCAAGCACAAAATAGCGTAGGGCAAACTGACGCAAGGAGAAAATAGCGCGTAATATACAGGATATATTTTTTTAACTAATGAAATTCCTTGAAATAATGCGTAACAAATACTGTTCCAACGACGCCTATGTAGAGAATGTTTAAAGTGTAGCTCCGTTTCTCATTACATTTTAGGATCCGATCTATTTTAGCGCGAAACAATTTCGTGCGGGATAAATTTGTTGCGACAAATTTCCGCCGAGACAAATACAAGAGAGACAAGTTAGCGTCTAATATAAATAAAGTGAGACCGGTTAGCACCTGATATAAATAAAGTAAGACCAATTAACGCATAGTTTAGTCATAGTGAGTTAAGCGCTTTTTCAAAAAAGAGTAAAACAAATTAACGCGTGACAAAATATGCCAACATTCTAATTAAAATTAAAAAAAAAACGTTAAACTTAGTTTAATTATTTTTATTTATTTAAAAAAACTGAAATATTTTGATTAGCGCTTTTATGTCCTGCGCTATTTTGTCTTGCGCTATTTTGTCTTGCGCTATTTTGTCCTTGCGCTAGTTTGTTCTTGGGCTATTTTGTCGTTGTGCTATTTTGTCCTGCCCTATTTTGTCTGCGCTATTTTGTTATGGATCCGAAGAAACCTACATTCCACACTTTACAGATACAAATAGAAGTGCAGGATTGAATTGAAGTATATAATTGAAGCACATAATTGAAGTCCAGAATTGAAATACAGAATTAACGTACATAATAGATTTACAAAATATTTTAATTAAACTTGTACTTACAATATCCTCTACAATCTCCTTGACAGCAGACACGGTTAATATAAAAATAAGAGGCACTAGAGTGGTGTATTTTCCAGTCGGCGAAACGTCCGGTATCTGCTGCAGCAGCGCCATCAACAGAAAAAAACAGTTGGCCCATCTTCGGAACTGTTCGAAAAGGAACAGCGGTATGAATGTATGAAAACTGAAAGAAACAAAAATATGACCTAGAAGGAGGATAATTTTCTGACCGTAGTTGAATTTTTCAAAACAAATAAAACATTTTTTTAAATATAAATTCCAAACCTGCAAAATCCAAGTTACCTGAAAACCTAAATTTTTCTAATGACATAAACAATCACTTTTTATTGGAATGCTGGTAACTGTTCGATGTTGATCAAGAATCTATTTTTGACCAATTTGGTTTGCATTTACTCCAATAATATTAGTTCGGCTCTTACCAATGGCAGAGTTCATATATATTATATGCTGATGATACGCAAATAAGGTTTTCTGTCTGATTTTAATGTTACTCTCACTAATGAAATGATTAACAGAGAATTAATAAAAATCGTAATTTTTTCTAACAGACATCAGCTAACTGTCAATTCCACAAGAACACAAATACTGATATTTGGTAAAAATAAAAGTATTGAGTATTGTTGGTATCTTGGTGGCTTGTGTAATGCTGCCAAAAAATCTGGGTCTTCAACTTGATACTAACTTAAAATTTAGAAGCCATGTAAATAATTTGAAAATGCTTTACCCGAATCGCCATCTTTTAGATCAAAATACAAAAGTACTACTTTGTGATACTATGGTTCTGTCATTTTAATTACTGCGATGTCGTCTATGGGTCTTATATTGACTATGTGGATATTAATCGTATTCAAAGAGTCCAAAATTCTTGACCTTGTTACATATACAGGGTGGCCACTTTTTTAATGGGATTGTATTAGTAATTACCAAAGCATTGTGTAATACACCACTGGATGCAAGATGACAAGTTATTTCACATAATGTTATAAAATATCTAGGTCCATATTTAAAAAAAAATAAGTTGAGGGTGGTCTGTAGAATACGAAACGTTGGATGCAAAATATGAAAACGTCAAATCAAAGAAAATTTACTATCAAATAAAAAACCTTAAAAATATTTTTTAGTAGTTCTGAAAATAAATGAACGATAACCAAAAAACCGGAAAGATCGAATTTCCTTTTATCGAAATATCTCAAGAGCCGGGCCTGCTATTTTCGATTAATTTCCACCGCTAGATTATGCTTCGAGATAGGCAACTTTTTCTCCATTTAACCGACTTTCTAACTAGTACGGTTTAGAAATTACTAATACAATCCCATTAAAAAAGTGGCCACCCTGTATGGTATAAAAAAATACGAAAGGATTAGTCGCAAACTAATTGAAACTAACTAGTTAAATATGGAAACTAAAAGGAAATTAATTACACATGGTAACATTGTATAAAAAGATAATTTTATTAAAGTTATCTCGTTAATCTATAACATCTATAACAAAATAACATTTCGAAGTGATGTGCATAATATTCATACAAGTTTTAGAGGGTATATATCTCCAACTCTCCATCGTACCTCCAAATTTCAAGGTTCATTCTCTTATATGATATTTAAGCTATATAACCTGGTTCCTCCTAAAGTTACCTCGTTAATCTCTAACAAAATTACATTTCGAAGTGATGTGCATAATGTGCATACAAGGTTTAGAGGGCATATATCTTCACCTCTCCATCGTACCTCCAAATTTCAAGGTTCATTCTCTTATATATTTAAGCTATATAACCTGGTTCCTCCTAAACTCAAACATCTTTCGACAAATATATTCAAGCAAAAGTCAGAAAATATCTAGTCAAAACAACCTTTAGATATTATAATTAAATGTAAATTTACATTTATAAAATTTATATTTATATTTTTGGTTCGATTGTGCCACAATTTATTCTTTGTGTTTTATTATTTTTCTACTTTATTAGGGATAGCAATTAATATCAGTTATGCTGTCTGCTATTCGTTTTTGTCGTATTATACTATTTTTAAACAAAATTTATGTATTAATTGCAACTTTATCTGTAATAATGCTGCAAATAAATGATTAGTTATTTATTTTATTTATTTATTATTATTCTTTGATTTGATCATTGTATTTAGATAGCCTAGTAGAACAACCTTGACGTGTCATTGGAGGCAATTCTGTTACGACCGGAGGTAACAGAGATATAACCATTCATTGATAAAATATAATATTCACGATGCCAAGATTAATTCGACACTCTATTTGTAGGAGGAGACGAAAGGTGAGAGGTAAGAGAAGGGACAAAGAGAAGAATTTTAAGCAGATACAACTTATTTTTATCAATGAATAAATGTGCGCTTATAATAAACTTATAATAAACAACGTAAATATTCATGCCGATGTAAGCCCTGTTGCCACTTCCAACCTAACATGACTAGGTTTTGAAATTTATTGAAAATTATTACATCTAATTTAGTGAAATTACAGACAATTTAGTTAAATTTAATATAACTAAGGATTCAAAAATTTTTGGATTCAGTTGTTGAATTAAACAAAACGAGAATAATGAAATGGGCATATGACAACAGCGGATAGTATACCCTCTTGTGTCCCTTACAATGTCTTATTCAGGACCCCAGGAACAAATGAAAAAACATGGTAGTCATATGAGCTTTAATAAATGAGCAAAAGTGTTGTTGCAAAGTATGTAGTCCAATAAATTATACATTTTTAAATGCAGAAAACTATCTTAGTAAGTTGAGATGTCAGGAATATTAATGGATGGGAGAAAATTGTAATCTAAGGGAAGGAAAGGGTAAAAAATGGGAAATGATCAAACCAATGGAGTTGCCAAAGCCTGAACATCCAACTAAAAACCTAACATCATCTAATATGGATCGGTGGGTATTCTTTTCACCAACAAGAAGACGTTTCGTTTTTGGAAGAAAGATATGACCATTCTAAAAATCAATTACGCTTCAATTTTTGGCAAAGTTACTCACCTATATTTGGCTGTAGATACGTTATTTTTACAATATTTCGAAACAGCTGGCTGCGCCCTATTGAGAAATATCACACGTTGCTCGGCCCCAGCTCTCTGATCCGCTGAGATCTCCGTCTCTCTATCAAGGGCTGAAGACAGGTTGCCGTCCACCTCATCTTCAACAAAAAAAAAAATAAATAAATAAATGTATGCACGATAAATAAATAAGGAGAGTCCACTTGGTTCCTTAATAGTAGTTTATGTTACAACGAGACAAAAAAACACTTTTTGGCCGTATTTCAGACATTATATTTTAATTGAATGTGTGTAGACGTTTAAAAAAATACAGAAAATTAAATAAGCAGTGGGATTCTCATCTTTCGATACGTCAAGTATCAAGACGCCTATCTTCCTTTGACAGACTGCGATTCTTATGTAATGTCTCTATCTCTCTTTTCTTATAAATAAAATAGCTGTGATCTGTACGAATAGATATTATTAGGTATTTCAACGACCTGTCAAACAATAACTGTCAGAGGACAGGGTTGGTAAATCTAAGGGGGTTGTTACGCGACATAGTCTTCCATCTTGGACGACAGTTTTATTCGAACCAGTAGTCGCCAAGCCTACCAATTTAAGAATAATATATCAGCGGTTTTTTTTAATAACATTTTCATGATGTTGAAAACTTAAGCTGACTACTATTTTCCCCCTAGCCTTTGTGACCTCTTCATCAATTTAGTCGCAAAATCTTAGATATACCAACCCTTTCCTTCGGCATCCATTTTGTTTGGAATGCCTAATTGATAACAATTGAAAAATTGCTATCATGTCAGTGTGCTTATTTCAAACCAAAAATGCCTTGTTAAGTGCTATACAGTGTGTGCCATAAAGTTGGAAGTATATAGATTTTTTTTTTAAATATTTTCATCGGAAAAAACGTCGTAGGGCAATCATCATCTCTGCTTATTTAATTCGTATTTAAAAATTACTTTTTTCGAAATAAATGAGAGCGCCGGGAAATCGTAGAGGATATGCTCGATGTTATCATTTTCTTGTTCGCACCTCCTGCAGAGAACGGATTCTGATAGTCCCATGATATGGAAATGCTTCCGTACTTGGCAACAACCAGCCTGTGAAGCTCCCTGGCAACTCTGCAGTTTCTTGTTTCATCCTATATTTCCTTGAATTTCATAGGGGAATATTCTTTAATTAGGTCTATCATTAGCGATGTTGTCAGTCCAATAGAGGGGTTGGGTCCAAAAATTATCTGGTTTGCTGCCTTCTTGGCTAGTGAATCAGCAAGATGGTTACCTTTCGATGTGGCATGACCTTTGATCCAACTTAAGCTGACAACATTGTTGACGGATACTTCGGCCAAAGCTTCGTGACATTCTAGTACTCCCTGAATAAATTCGTGGTCTGTTCAGGGCGAGTAGTGCTTGACTGCTATCCGTATAGATGGGCATGTTTCTTCCAGTGATATTGTTTCTGGTGATTTCTTGTGCTGCTATGATAGTTCCTGTGAGCTCTGTTTGAACTACACCAGCGCTATTGCTTATTCCATTTAATGTTTACGTTTACGGATCTTCTATTTGTTGCTATAACTTTATCCTGCCAAAAGCGACGTCACGCCTCACCAGATCCTACATCAGGTTCTATTCCAACCGTGCGGAGGCGTGTCATTATCTTCAAAGCAACCTCCTTGATGTAAATATCAAGGGGAGTGAGAGTAAGATTGACTTCCATGGCTCTGGTTGGTGTGGTTTTCATGATTCTTGTTATGCTGTTCTTTGAATTTGGGTTTTAGGTACTGAGACAACTGTACCGTATAATAGCATAGGTCTTATGATGACCGCGTAAGTACATGTGACGACTCTGGGGGATAAATCCTAGGTTCGTCCCACTGTTCGGCGGCATTGTTCATAAGCAATGTGTGCTCTTTTGACTCTGTCTTCTAAGTGGAAGTTCCATGTTAACTCTCTCTTAAAAGTGAGACCTAGTTACTTCACCTCTATTGCAAAGTTTAGTTTTGTGTTTAGGAACTCTGGAGATTTTAATTCCATTTTCATCTTTTTGCTTGTGAAAGCGACCATTTCTATCTTCTTGGACCAGTGAATGGTCTTTGCACCATTGTTCTATAATTTTGAGAGCTACTTGCATTCTTTCGCAGGGTATGTTCTCAAAATTGCATGTTTGCAGAATGACCAGGTCATTTGCATACGCTATTATGTAGTGTCATTATAATTAAGGTATCGAGGACCATGATGTACAGTAGATGTGATAGTACCCCTCCCTGTGGACATCCCCTCGCAACCAAGCGTCTTCTATTCTCATCTTCTACACTTATGTTTACTGATAAGGGAATGTTTGCCGAAAGAGTGAGAGGGATGAAATATGTATCGAGGAAAGTAGATATTTTATATTTAAACCAAAAATTAAAATTAAATAGACAAAATCAAATTATTATTTTGTATAGATTAGACACCTATATTAAAGATCCCTATAATATAAATAAATTGGCACAAATCCGATATCTATATTTCCATTTAAAATTTTAAACGCGACCTTTGTCACACTGTAAAGTGTCACCTTGCGATATTAACAATATACAACTCACATTTATTGGACCATTTGGGTATGTCATAAAATTATTAACAACCAATATACACCGAATTCCAATTAGACTTTCAAATGAGGCAAATTTACCGAAATGTGGAGATAAAGGCGTAACTGAAATCTATACAGGAAAATATATAAATACTTCGCGTGCTATATGTAGTCCGACCGCCATGAATTCGAAATAAGCCTTTGATACCCCGATCACGATACCCAAATACACGACGGAATTAAATAGGTGGATATTGTTTTTTATGCAGTTATTTTCGGAACGGAATAGCCTTGTTGTGAAAAGGAAAATAATCATAAATAATCAAAACAAAATAGCGAGAAACGGGATTAGTGTTTTCAGGAACGCTATTGTCGAGTAGACAGAAAAGAATTTAAATAACGTGGAAAAGAAAACGAGAAAATTAAAACCGCTTCAATCTGTTTTCTTTCCCAGATGCACAGGATTTCAAATTCGCTTTTTCTAATTGGTTTTGCTCTAGAAAAAATACAGGGCGAGTCATAACTATTGAAACCTAGAGTAAGTGCAGGTTGTTTGGGGGACCAAAATATACTTACCTCAATAAAATGTTGCTGCAGAAAAGATATTTTTTCGTTTTTTACTAATAAATTTATAATTCGTTATCTAAATTGGCACAGAGGCAAAGAATATTATTTAATTTATAATTTTATGTTTGGATGTTTGCCACATGAGCGATAACGGATAAATTCATTTTAGACCTATTTATTGATTCAAAGAGAAAATCTTGAAATTAGTCGATTTTTAATTTTAAAGTGTTTTAAAATCTTTTCTCAGCAACCTAGTGGACATTATCATTTCTACATAAAAAAAAACAAAGTTGGATTGCCCAATTGGAATTAATTTCCTTTTATAATTTTGCTAAAATATTTGAACAGACTTTAAAACAAAATTATAAAATTTTTTAAAGCTCAACATAACTACAGATAATATGGTTTTATTCAAGGGTCAAATAGATTTCTTAAATGAGGCAGTAAAAACTCGAAACGAATCATCAAAATGCTCTATGATTTTTATCGTCACATAAAATTTTGATTGAAAAACTAGAAAACTTACGGATCATTATATGTATTTCAAAATTACCTTAAAAACAGAATTAATAATAGTAAAAATAGAAAATGAACTAACTTCAAAAGTAAAAATCAGGAGTCCCACAGAGAGCATTATTAGGTCCAATAATATTTCTAATATACATAGTAGTTAAAATACATAATCTCATTTCCAGTTTCATGTTATGCTAATGATACAGCACTCTTGCCCTCCGAAACAATGGAATACCTTTAAAACTGAGGCAGAAAGTGACTTACCACAACCTACTTTAAACGTAAAAAAAACTAAATGGCTTTCACTCCTACAATTACTACACAATAACCACCTAATTTTCACTTAAAGTTGCACGAATCTTAATGTAAACATTTGTTTGTGTCCAAAATTAGAAAAAAGTAGTGTCAACTGCTACTAGACTAATCCATTCATTCATAATTAAGCCCATTTTTATTGCGATCATTCAGCTTGTGTTTATTATTACGCAAGATAGAGCTGTCGCATCGGCATTAGAAAGAATGAAATCTGAGTGGGGATGGTTTGTGCGAGTATAATTACCCGAAGAGCCAGCATGCATTTTATGAATCAATCAGTATTTAGGTTTAGTACACTTGCTTTACATTGTTGCAGCACTTCAAAATTAATGGCGTACTTTCCTGATAAACACTATACAACTACATTAATTGCAACGAAAATAGTAGTTTGTGTAACAAGAGTGGATATGATGGCCATATCGTACGAAGATGAAATTTGAGCACAACGCCGTAGGCGAAGTGCTCAATCGTCTGAGTGCGATGTGGACAATCCACTCGAGTTGTACAGTATATTTTTTCTACGACCCACTAACGAAAATTTACAAATAAAAAAAAATATTTTAGGTCATTAAGACAAAATAAGTAATTTTAAAATTATTTATGACATTTAATAATTTTTAAAATAAAATGAACGAAAAAATTTTCCCCAGTCGAGGCTCGAACTTTTTCGCGTGAAATGCAGATACTCTCACCACCCGTCTACCGGCAGATTTGGGAAGTTTTTTTTAATACTCGTAATTGAATTAATTTCATAGTTTCATTAAAATTAACAAATTATTTATAATTATAGTATAAATAAAAATGGAAATGCTATTATTTATCGATTCTACACAAAAATAAGTCATTTTATATATATTTAAGTTCAATAACTAAAAAATATACTGAATTAGTTTGACAGAATTGTCACTTATTTAATATTTTAAAAATAATAGTCGTCGAGTGAACTGTGATTGGTGGATTTAATTTTTTTGCAGTGTTCTCACTACATAGAATGGATATAAAATATACTCGTTTAATTAATGGCAATATTATACTTTTTCGTTTTGTAGTATGTGCGTAGATAAGCAAATATCCATGTGGGTGTAGAAAAATGTATTATTTCTATCAATTTTGAGCCACCTACAACTCTGGTGCTGATCTAGATCGGACCATTGTTAATATGAATATTTGC